TATCTTAGTAAAACTTTGAAGTTTAAATCTACACAGATGACATGAATACACTTAAATTATTACTGAATACTATTTATTGCTGTTTTATGGAACCAAGGTCCATAAAGTGTCCTGATTTGGCTCTTCTGTTGTAATAATTGTCTGAAAATGTGACTTAATTATCCTGCTGCTCCTCAGAGTGGAACATCTTGTTCTAATTATGAGAAGAGGAAGTCTTTCTTCAGTGAAATTAGAAGTGACAAGAACAAGATTCCCGATGACAATGAAGCTGTGAAATCCCCAAAAGAAAAATTTGGAAATTTTTTGGTGAACGATAAAATTGGTCTCTGCTGATGCTGTGGCACATGTTAGTCAAAAAGAGTATAAGTTTCTTCCACCTATATCTCAGAGATAAAGGCAAAAGTCTATCCTTGTGTATGAAAATTTCAAGTTATTTTGAGATTTCTTGTTGGCTTACATTCAGTATAACATTATTATTTGTATATATACATAATTATGCTTTATTTGACAGTGATTTCTTGTTATTTTTGCTACTTATTTAGAATTTCTTATTACTATTCATCTTTGTTATTATAATATCTTGTGATGTGTGAGATACTGTGATAAATAATTTCCCTTGGGGATCAATAAAGTTCATCTTAATCTAAGTCTAAGTGAACAAAAAGTGTGAAAAGAAAACAGAGTTGCAGCTATGTAGCCTAAATATGGCAAGTAAAGCTATATATTTGCAATTAAAATCTAGTGTAGTTAGATGCAATGTTTATGCTCAATATCAATATGAAATTTTGAAGTAGAAAAATAAAAGTGAGTGTACAGACCCCTAAAAGCATTATATTCAAATAAGTCCTTCCTGCATTGTTGCTCAGCTAAAGGGCAGGGGGTCCTCAGGGTAAAGTGGTGCAGAGAATGTTTGGCTCTGTGTCCTTATAAATGCTGTCAAGTGGCAACAGCAATGACCTGATACACCAGCGCTATGTGTGCGATGATGCAGGCCTCTGTATGTGTGTATGTGTGACTGGCCAGCAGTAAAGTGTATTTTATTGGAGTTAACACTAAGGTCAAATAAAGCAGATTTATTTCTACGGATTACTAGCACTCTGCTGGCCAGTCCATAAAACAGAAACCAATCACTGACACCCTCACACACACTTGTTCCCATTGGGGGCTGTGAGCAGGAGATATCATGGCTATTGTGTGGTGATACTGGAGAATGAGCTGTTGTGTTTAACCGTTTTAGCCCCTGAAGAGGCACGTGGACAAGGAATGGGTTCACATTTTAAAGTGGCCAGTTGTTGATGGCGTCATATGTTGTTTTGGTGCAGTCTGTGTGATCTTAAGAAGTAATCTGATCTTTTCACGCTTTGGTATGTTTTTAAATGTATACTTCAGATTTGTAATAGCCACCTTGTGATTTTTAGAGATGCACTTTTCTATCCACATATTGAAGCCAGTATAGTTGTTACATTTCGCATTCCACTTAGATTTATATGAAGAATTGGATATTGTTACTGTCATTCTGAAGTTCTGTCTCAAATAAATCTTTGCCAGTTCATTCAATCTTGAAGGGATTTTTGTTGTCACAGTTTCATTTATTTCTGGGAATTCCAAATATCTTCTATGAAAATATACAATTTCACAGTTTTAGTCCATACTATCACTTTCCATTTTCATTTTTAAAACTTTCATTTTTATAACCTTACTCTTTGATTTAATGTACCTGCACACAGAAGATTAACTGATAAATCAGTTAGTAGAGAATGAAGAGGCATTTTAAATCTTAAGCTTTCACTGATTAGCTGCAATAATTATCTATTTTGCCTGAAGGACTGGACCTCATAAATATTGACATGTGCTCATTATTGGTATATGGTGCATTATTGTCAGCAGTTTAAAGAAATCTATACAGTGAACAATTCTGATTTTAATTGATCACGTTGATATTAATATTAGTAATGAATGAGTAAGAATCTTAAATCCATTTCATAAGATCCCCTCTCTACTGTGTGATTGTCTAAGGACTGTTCCTCTAGTTTCTATGTGATAAACTGTGTGCCTCACTAACTGTTTACTACTGTGCTGAAGACCGGGGAACGCACACGATCAGTGAGCTGTGACTTCCACCAATAAAAAGTCATCAAGCCCTGTCGGCGCACTTTGACCCAGGGTTACCACAGAGATTGCCATAATGACCTCCAATCAGGTGCTGAGGCTGGGGTGAAGTCACCTGTCCGTCAATCCTCAGGCATAAAAGGCTTAGTCATTGCTCCAACTGTGATTTTTACAAACTGAGATTTAATAAATATGAAATGAATTTGAATACAATGTAATTTTAATATTGAGAAATTACAGAACAAAACAAGGCATAACAAAATTATTCCCAAACAATTTGTTCCTTTTAGGCTCAAATTTCATCTTGAAAGTAAATTATAAAGACGATTTTCATACATTTGGTTTTGGCTATATGTGTATGATAAATGCATTAGTGTGAATGAGGAGGGACAGTGGGATGGACTGCACAGACAGTCCAGAGAAGACAGAGTGAGACGGAGATGTGGCGACAGTGGAGTTTAATGATTCCAGATGAGCCGAGAGCCCGGCCTGACAACTGCAATGAACAGGAATCAATAGTGAGAGCGTCTGTCTGCGGCAGATAAGACACACACACACAATGTTGACTATTAAAGACGACAGCTTGAGATATTACACTATTAGTTATGCTATTTTTAATCAGCTATCATATTTAATTAATTCTTCAGGTCAGATGCTATCTCAACATGGGGATGTGTGTGCTGTGAGAGTGTGGAGGAGGTGGAGGAAGGGCTACAACAGCAGGAAAGCAGCAAAAATCTAAAATATTCAAATTAAACCTCATACAAGGAGGAATGTACAGAACACAAATTAAATTGAACAGTGCACATTTAAGTTTTTGTAGTTTGTTTTAGCCTAGCCTATGCAATAATAAAAAAAGTGTTATTCTGACTCTCACGTCTAAACACAGACATACCCAGAGCTGAGCAGGAGGTGAGTGTCTGTGTCATCACTTCCTCTGAGCAGCCACTGTGAGATCAGCAGCACAGCTGCTAATTATAGTAATTATGATTCATTACTAAGTCACATTAATTTAATAAAGAGGAGGCTGAGCAGAGCTCATTAACCTTCATTAGAATAATTATAGACACAAGACACACAGAGCCCTCTGCTCTCACACACAGGGAGAGGAGAGGGGAGAGAGACCACGCTCCACTGAAATGGCTGCACTCTGATCACGAGTGTCCAACAGACAAATAAGAAAGGCAAGCTGAGGTCTGGAAATGAATTAAATTAATGTGTTTATTTATGTCTTATTATGTGAGATTAGTTAAGTTAATGTAGCCCAAGTATTTTAAGCAAAACACTTTCTTAAAGGTTTTCAGTGTTCTACAGTCACTTTCATTGATGCCGTAGCAGATCTCTAACTCCTTTAACAGGTCTAATACTAATATTTCCAGAGGTGAATGCTGCTGTGATGTTTAATAAAGTGAATATATGGCCTCATTTAAAATACAGCCATAAAGCCAGAGTCCCTTTTAAAGCCAGAAGTAGATCAAAGGCCTTGTAATGGCGGGGCTCTCTGATTGGCTAATCATGTCTCATTGTTTCAGTCATTATTTTGCTCAACTTTTAATTTCTTGCTCTTAAGGATCATTGAGCAAGCCAATTACATGGAGCTGACCTTGTGCGCGCGGGCTCGGAGGAGGACAGGAAGGATGTCCCGTGCCTCGCCTCTTTTTTAATTTCTTCCACAACAATATAATAGTGTGGCGTCACGGGCTCCATCTCCAGTCCCCTCTGGTCCGCAGCTTAAAACGCGAGTCAACGGAATATTAAGTCCCAAGCATTAGAATAAACACGTCGTGTGTTAAATCAAAATCCAATTCTGTGGTCTATTATTTTCTGGCATAGTAATGACTGCCACGGATTAGGAATCAATATTTCACCGCAGCGGGGACATTACCGACTTTATTCAGGCCGTAATTGAGTTTTGAGGAGGAGGCAGCCCTGCCCTGGAATCTGCATTAAAGATAAGAGTTGCGTTCATGAAGCTGGCCTGGTACAGCGAGCTACGGCGCTTCTGCTACACATCAATTACACACAGTAGTTAACCTTGTAACACACGGACACCACACTGTAACAGACTCAACTACAGGCAGGTTTTAGGCCCATAAGAAGCGCAGGGTGGCCTGTAGCAGAGGAGGCTTCCTGTTCCTCTGTCTCTCTCTGTCCCGAGATAATAGACTATTAGTGGAAGTGGGATTAATTTGTACCCAATTACAAGCCGTTGGGTTGAATAGGAATGCATAAATAAAGAGGAACCCACAGAAGGTCCCCAAGGGGCCGGCCAAAATCCAAAAAAGGTGTAGTTGATAGGGAGAGGGAGGGAGCCGGTTTACGCGTCTGTGGAGAAAGCAGAGAAAGAGAGAGAGAGAGAGAGAGAGAGAGAGAGAGAGAGAGAGAGAGAGAGAGAGAGAGAGAGAGAGAGAGAGAGAGAGAGAGAGACTCGTGCAAGCCGGAGAGCGAGCTGCCACCAGAATGGGGTCCACAGCGTCCCGCCTACAACTCCTGTCGGACAAGCAGAGAGCGCGCCAACCCGATCCACACAGCAGAGCGCACGAGGCTGGAGGCGGGGAGAGAGGTGTTTATTACAAACATCTGTGTCTGAGCACTCGCACGGGGCAGAGCAGCCTCTGCAGGTACGCAGCACTCTGGGGATGAAGGCGCGTACAGAAGCCTGAGTTTGGATGGACCGCCATCGCAGAGAGTGCCCAATCTGACTGACTGCATGGGAAAGTTTAGTGCGCGGGCAGCATCACCTCAAATAGCACTCTGATGGGACAGGACCACACGTTTTTTGACATGGGTTCTAAACTCTCTTTCTAAACACATAAACCTGGTTCCTTTTCATTTCCATCGAGTGGTATTCAATTTGGATCGTAAATATATGGGACAATCACAGTGACGCTATGAACCGGGACAGAGCTGTGCCAGGACCCGTGGTGGACGCGGTCCAACCCAGTGCCAACCGGGACAGAGTGGCGCAAGTGGCCGGGGTGAGTCGTGACAGAGCGGTACCGTCAACTGGAGACGGGCTCCAGACCGTGGTGGTTCCGGACGGTGCAGATATGCTGGATGCAGGCGCAGAGGTGGAGAAGCGGCATGTGTCCAACGGGGTGTCCAGCGGAAGAGACGCTCAGGCTGTGGACAACCACTCAGACCCTACGAGCCCAGCACTATCCCCGCCACAGCAGGTAGGGTCCACGGAGAAAAGTTGACAGGCCTACACTTCATTTCACTGAATCACAAGCTCCGTCTCTGTTCGATATACACAAAAAGCGCATGCACTTTCAACACATTCCTTACCGTATTATTAGGACAATTTTGTTATCATAAATTGGGAACAGTTACACAATTTTTAACTACAAAATTAGGCCTAATAATCATCATTATAATAAAAGAAAATACTAATAAAATAAAACGCATATGAGCAGCGTAAAAATAACACTTATGGTGACATGGGTAAAATAATTGGTTTGAGAAACTATTTTAATCTGAGATTTGTGTCGTTGCTTGGCCTGTTGATAATAAAGATGTTGTAGCCTAAACGAAAAAAGCTTATCTTATGGACAGTGCGTATAGGCCTAAAGGCTTGATCTCTGAAACGTTTGATAACAATCTTGCGAACTCTAGTTTTATTTACTTTATTTGGAAACATATAAGGATGAATGCATTTCTAACATCATGGAGCCTGCGAACCATCCAGTTTGTAAAAAGCTGTTTGGCTCGTATCATCAAGTGTTAACAGCTCACAGGCTGCTGTTGTTCAATGACAACAAACTACTGTTGTTCCTTATTAACAAAGCTGGATTTTCATATAGCCTAGACTGTAATAATCAGCCCAGTTAATCAGGTATACTATTATTAAATTAACTGCTTGTTGACTTCGTAAATAATAATAATAATAATAATAATAATAATAATAATAATAATAATAATAATAAATTACAAAAGCTTTGATGAAAAAAATTGGTTGAATGTATTCACTTAATATGACAGATTTTTATTTTTTTATTATTATTATTATTTTTTAATTTTATTATTATTTTTTTTTATTAAATTTTTTTCCGATCAAAATGTATAGATTAAGGTTTTCTGAAATTAAGACATTAAAAATCTATGACAGGAAAAATGTGCCCTAATCTCTCTGTCCGTGTGTCCAGGGCCCCATGACGCACCGCACCACCTCGTTCTCGGTGCTGGACATTCTGGACCCCAACAAGTTCACGAGCAGCCGCCGATTCCCGCACGCGCACGAGCGGCCCGAGCGCGAGCTGAGCGCATTCAGCGCAGAAAAGCGCCGCACCGTGGAGCGTGAGCCTGGCCTCGAGCCCGGCCTGGAGCCGGCCAAGAGCTGCTACGGCGCGGACGACTACCACAGCAGCAGTAAGTGCAAAACATAAATACAGAAACAACAACAAAACCTCGCCACCACCTTATGAGACTACTATTTTTAAATTCTTACGCACCCAAGATAAACATTGTGTACTCCCATATTAAATTGTTTAATAAATAGTATGTTTTAAATTTTTCTTTAGACCAGTGAGGCGAAAAGATCGAGGAAACTGTCACCTGCCGTAACATATTTAACACGTTGAATCCTTGCTACTGCCTAATTTACTTTTTCAATTCAAGGGCTTGATTAACAACACGATCTTGGTCATACAGCCTAGGAAATCTTTCAACAATAGATCAACAGTTCGTTGTTGTTGCTTTACCGATTCTGGTGTTACGCGCGTGTTAACGCACAACTTATTTCCGTAAGATTCTGACAGGTGGATATTTGTGCCAAGCTGCATAAATCTATTTGATGTAATTTCAGTGGCCCATGAATTTTAAACTGAACCCCTTTAAATTATGTTGTTGTCCACAAAAAAGATAAATTAGCAAAGATATTGCTAAAATCTAATTTTACTGACACAAAAGATGAACGGAGATTTAAAGATAAATTATTTGAAATAGTAATTATTTCAGTGTTGTATTAACAATAATTCAACAACAATTAAAATGGCGGTGAGGATGTTTAATTAAAAAAAAAAACTAAATTAGGACTAGACTATCTGTACATATAATAATTTACTTATTTTACATTTCTGCTATTGTTTTTGTTTTTCAGAATAGTTAGTTAAAATTAATTATATATTTTTTTGGAATTAATTGTATATTTCTTTGTTTGTTTAAATGTTTGTAGCACTGAACCATTATTAATGAGCTCTTTGGACTGGGGTCAGAAGCAGTAAATGTAGCTGCCTTGGCCATTAGACTGATACTTACTACATGAGATGTTAATAAAGTGTTTGTGTGACTCTCCAGAGGACAGCTTCGTGTACCGCAGTCCAGAGGAGGAGGACTATCCACGCTCTGGGACCCCAGACTCAGAGGCTGCTGATGGGGCGTATAGCAGTGAAGAGAGCAGCTCTGCCCTGGTCTCCAACGGAGAGCATGAGCTGAGCTCTCACAGTCACCAAGAGCCATCCAGAGACAAGAGTCCTGGAGGAGGTTCCACAGGACCCCTGTCCAATGGCCAAACGAATGGGGGCCAGAGCACACAGGGCAAGCCCAAGAGGAAGCGCTCAGGCTCGGACTCCAAGTCAGGAAAGCCTCGCAGAGCACGGACTGCCTTCACATATGAGCAGCTGGTGGCTCTGGAGAACAAGTTCAAGTCCACACGCTACCTCTCTGTGTGTGAGCGCCTCAACCTGGCCCTGTCCCTGTCCCTCACCGAGACACAGGTGAAGATATGGTTCCAGAACCGCCGCACGAAGTGGAAGAAGCAGAACCCAGGGGCAGACACGTCGGCCCCCACAGGAGCAGGAGGGGGCACAGGGGGCAGTGGGCCCGGGGCAGGAGGCCTGGGCAGCCTGAGTCCTCTCAGCCCCTCTCCTCCTGTCAGTGGACACCTGGCCATGCATACAGGCTATGGGGGACACCACCATCCCCCCACAGGAGGCCTGGTGCAGCTGCCCTTCCTCACAGCCAGCCACGTACTGTCCCCCTTCATGCTAGGAACGCAGAGCTACGCAACGCCGGCCTTCTACAGCACACACCTGTAGATACCAGCGCACACAGACTCCTTTTTACTGTTTCAAGGCTCTCATTTCAAGGATTATTTTGATAGAATGTGGATATTTCCCAGAAACTGTACATAACCGCTCTAGCTCATTATGAATGCTCTTTTGAATAAAAAAAAAGTTTTTTTTTTTCTTTAAAAAGTCAGAATATTGAATATTAAATAATTATTTATGACTTCAGGAATTGCTTGATCTACTGTAAGTACCGTGTAACTGACAGCTGTGTCTGTTTATTTGATCTTTTTAATATTTATTGAATATGTTGACAGTTAACATCAAATCATTGGATGTTGAGAATCATGAGCTATCATTTCATCTTTGATATTAAAATACTGACATAAATGAAAGGTTTGTGTACTTGAACTGCACATTATGAAACACTTAACTATATTCACAGGTTATATAGTGAAGCAGGATTTTTATCATTTCATTGGTGAGCTAATTGAATTTGGATTGTTAAAATATAAAAAATGTGCTGCTTAAAGTCTGGCTCATCCCTGAATTAGCCTTATTAAAATAGAGGACACATCAAATACATTAATACACAGAAAAAAAGAGACAAAAAAGCATGCGTGTATAAACATATAAATAATTGTGTATTTTAAAAAAACAATTCAAAAGCAATATTTCATTTTCTGTTTTACAATCCACATCAATTAATTGTGACTACAAATAAAACATTGCAAATATAAATACGTAGTTACAAGACTATAAAATAAGTGAATGTGCATTGATGTGTTACTCCACCCTCTTCATTGAGAGCTTTAAAATGGTACTTTATTGCTGTGAGTGTTTTGACTGGAGATCAGTTGAGAGCATAGTTGAACTGGTTAGAGAACTTGTCATGTTTTCTTCTGTCAGCTTTAATCATCACCTCAGTCACTCTGCGCATGGAGCTCCTGGTCAGATGGACACAATCAAGAAATCAGGTTAGAAAAGCGATTACTTAATACTATTAAAAAAATTATTAAAATATTTATTATTGTATCAGCTTCAAGGAAATTTTGGAGTCGTTGTTGATTATTTGTTCATCAATCAATGCAAAAACAAGTAACTAGTACAAGAATATATTCAAAGTAAGAAAAAAGCTTTAAGTGGTTGCTGGTCTGCACTGATTTGTTGACAAACACATGCCAATAATGCCATGTATAAAACAGGGAATGGAATATGAGAAAAAAATACACACGGTTTTTAGGCAAAGTAAATTTTGAGGTTGATTTGTAAAATGTAAACAAAACAAAAACAATAACATTAAAAAAAAGTTTTGAAGTTGGCTGCACTGCTTGACTTGTATCTACTACATCACTGAAAAGCAAATAATACTGACAATGGTACAATAATAACTCATAAAATATTAATATTTTTTACATTTGAGTATTGTTTACTCTTGGAGGAGGTGCAAAGATACATACTTGTTGAAGACTTTCTTCTCCAGCCTGGACCGCGATGTATTGGCGTTCTGCTTGAGGTCACTGAGGTTGGGGAACTTCTTCTTCTTCCCTTTGCCCTTCTTGCCCACTCTGTTTGAGCCTAGGTCCTCTCCAGTGGCAGCTTCAATATCTCTCATCAGCTCTGGGTCTCGCCAGTCTACCAAAAAACAAACAAAAACAAACATACATAAGGCATATAGAAGTACATGGTAAGTAGCCTTAACAGGTTTTTTGCCAAGTTTGCAGAGGATCTGAATTGATGCTTAAACAAAAGTAATTTAGGTGTAATGAAGTAATTAGAACTGATAAACTAAATGAGCTGGTAATGCCCACTTTTACAGACCATAAGGGGTAAACAGTGTGTCGTACAGGCCCATTGGGATCCAATTGTGGTGTTAATGAAAAGTGTAACGTCATAATTCTGGGTGATAAAAGTAAAAGTGGTTGTAATGCAGAGTAATGACTGTCTAAACGAAGAGACACTCCTGGTTAATGACGTACCCTGGTGGAATTAGAGATAAAGCTGCGGTAATGCAAAGTAATTACACTGTGATTGTGATGGGATTGAAGCCGGGCCCACCGCTCTGTCAAAACACTGACCCCCCCGGCCCTGTGTGGGTGTGTGGGTGCGTGTGAGGGGCCCTTAATCAGCCGCTATGACCCCGGCCCTGACTGGACCTTCAACTAGCCCTAATTACACAGCCAGCTAAGGCCGTAATTGAGAAGCAGCTGGTGTATTTAGGGGAATCATTACTGCTAAAAACGGCACAGCTGCTTTTTGTAGTCTGTTGGTGTATCTGTGTGCGGGATTTTAGCAACTTGTGCCCTTGATCAAGTTAGATGATAAGAACTAACGCCAAATATTGAACAAAAACATACAGTAACTGGTAGCTAACTAATTAACTCAAGTTATTAATACAAAAGTTTTTGCTATAAGAAATTATTGCAGTCAAGTCTATATTTGTAGCCATTTCAATTTCTTTTATTGAAAACTCAGATTTTACTGTTCACATGCAGGTCATCAGGTTTTAATGTAGTTTAAGATTGCATTAGACATCATTATTATTGTACTTTTAATTTGACCTGCAACTTTTTGAGAATTACTTCATAATATTTAACTGTAACTATAGGGAAAAAATAAAACCATGGCTATGTAATGTATCATGCAATGCAATAATAAATGAATTTGTCTCATTCTCTACTCTAATGTGTGGAGTTTGGGAAAGACAGGAAGTGGCACCCATACAGTACTTTAAAAGAAGAAAAAGTAAAAGATTGGAAAATGAAAAAGGTGAAAAGAAATCAGCCCAAAACGAGAGGAGAAATGAGAAAAGGCCACAGTCTTTTTGGTGTAATCATTGTTGCAGCAGGGCTCTTTTTTCCGTCAACACCTCTTAGCCACTCCAGCTGAGTCCCTAGATCTGTATGTGCGAGAGAGAGAAAGAGAGAGAGAGGGAGAGGGAGAGAGAGACAGAGAGAGAGAGAGAGGGGGGGAGAGGAGGGAAAAAGACAGGAGGAGAGGGGGGAGAGAGAGAAGAGGGCACAGGGCAGACCACAGACAGCAGGCATGTGAAGTCAGGGTTTATTCATGTGTTGGACAACTTTTTTTTTTGAGTTGATTTAATTGATTGTTTTCAGCTGTTTTGTGGTTTGTTATTCAAGGAATTCAGAAATTACATAATCTACAAAACTTACAAAATATCTACAAAGAGAAACAGGTTAAGAAATAAAGTGTCTAAAGAATTGTTGGATGTCATCTAGCATGCCATGCATAAACAGAATGACATCTGTAGGATGATTCCATTGATGGTTTCATCTAAACCACATGTCGACAGTCAATGAAATCAATGCCTGCCGATTATACAGGGAACATGTCCTTTCCATAACGTCGACTTTAACAGAAAAATAACAATATAAACAATATGCTCCAAAATGCTGGCAACGCCTTTGTGTAATATATTAAGTCACAATTTGAGAAGATGAAAGTAGGATTGTTGAGCCACACTGACATGCAAGCAGTGGCTAAGAGGTCTATCATTTTATTATTATATTGAATTTAAAGAACGGGAGAATAAGTACTTTTGATTTGATTAAATAATTATATATTATTAAGATAGAAATCTGTAGCTCAGATAAAATTATATTGTGTATGTGTGGATCAATAAAGTTTGTCTAAGTCTAAATGAAGAAAGATGTGTTGATGTGAAAGCTGTAAGGATAATGTGTTTTATTGTCACTTTGGTATTTAAATCTGTATCAAGTATTTACCTGTATCAAGTATTTTTGCATCAAAATAGTTTGAAAACATTTTTTAATGAATAAGAAATAATGTATTTGATTAAATATCAAAATCTGACTTTTTTGCCATTATCAGTGAACAAAATTCATAAACTAGTAACTTGCTTTGGCATTATGGTGAAACATAAAAAATAGGAACTATGATGAAATAAAAAATAAGGGTATGCACTACAGAAAAGGAAATAATAAAAAATAGACAATACCAATCCTCAGTTTACCTTTACCCATAACTAGGAGCCATCATAGAATAGCTTGCTGCATAGTGCACCAACATACCTGTGTACTGTATATGCCTGGTTAAAGAGGTAGGAGAGGGTGAGAACACTGGTTCATGGGTTCACTCAGGCCACTGCCCCCCCTCCTGCTGGGAGATTGATTTGTGTGTGTGTGTGGCTAGGTGTGAGATTGACTCTTGGATCGATAGTGTACTTGGTAACAAAAGATGCTATTTCACAATTCACTGGACTGCATGCCAGGGCTCCACAAACACTTACAGACAGTGACACTCACACAGAGGCGACGGTTAACAAGGCCCTGCTGGCAGCTGCTGGACATCCTGCAGACTCTCCCCAGCCCACGCACACGCAAACACACACACATGCACACAGACACACATACAAACACACACAAAAGCACGGGACATGCCACATTATTGGGGGTACTGAGCAGAATAGTGGTTTGCTTTCACATTTACAGAGGTTACTTTGTTTTTATTTTATTTTATTTTACAGGGAAAAAAAAAATCAGGTGTGGGTGGTGTTTTTTCCATATAAATTTGTTTATACCCGTAAAAATTCAAGCATATATTTTGCTGTCATATATCGCACATACTTAATTAAAAATCTTCAACATATAAGCTTTCCATATTGTTTATTACAGAGATAAATATTTTTTATTATTCTACAAAGAACAGGGACTTAGCATCAAAAACAAAAGTTAAACTTATTATTTATAGCATTTTATAACATTAATACACTATTTTTTGGCAAATATATCTTTTTCAAAACAATATAACATGGTGATCTAAATATGTCATATGTTTAAGCAATTAATACCCCACAGAATGTAATATTCCCCTTTGAAAATGTTTAGTGATTATAGTACAGGCCCTATTAGATGAATAATATCTTACCAGGTTGCTCCTGTCTCCTCCTCATCTCCTCCTGCTCTTCCCTCTGTCTGTCCTCTGCATTACAAGGTTTTCCGTCCTGGTCCCGTGGAATGATCCGACCATGGAACGGGCACTGGATAAAACCAAACATATCAATGAATACATAAAAATGCCTTTATATGAGACATCAACAAACCAAACTTGAAACAATATTAATATTAATCCCTGTTACCTTGACCCTGTCTTGTCTCTGGCACAGTTTTCCGTTGCCCAGTGGAGCCCTGCAGAAGTGGCTGACTGGAGTGAAGCGTCCTGGGAATGAGATGTACCTGCTCTTGCTCTCTGCTGCCATGTCCTTGTTCTCCACCTCCTCCTCCATCTCTGCTGGCACCCAGAACTGATGCTGCGAGGCTGACCTGGACCAAATGTATGAATTTGCATGGATACCTCATAAACCAAATATTAAGACAACATTTTAGACTTGTTTTTACTTGATGATCTTGCCGGCGGAGGGTTGATCCTGACCCCAGTAAAAGATGTCCAAGCCAAAGGGAACCACAGGAGCATCCTTTGCTTTCTTATTTGAAGATGTGGACACAGAAGTAGAAGGTTCTGAGGAGCTGTAAAATATTTGCTTCATAAAACGTCAAAGATATGAAGTTCTTCAAATATTACCAAAAAGTCCATTACCTGGAATCAGTTGGGAGGGCGATTTTGTCTTTGAGGAGGCGTATAGTAGCAGCAGCAGAAGTTGGGTCTTGCTCCTCTTCCCTGAGTCGTTTTAGTTTCCTTGAGAAAGACGAGATGGAGGAGGTGGAGGTGGTGGATGGTGGTGGGGCTGGGGGTCGCTTGGTAGGAGCTGGTTTTGTGACCGGTGCTGAAGAGGTAGATGGTAAGGGATCCAAACCTGTAAAATGCATTTTGTTTAGAATCTCAGAAGACACCTACAATGTAAGCTTGGTACAATTTTGGTTGAATTTTTAAGCACTGTTTTTGTTAATCCTCCATCTTATTAAGACTTGCTGGTAGATCAAGCTAATTTCATTAACTTTGGCCATGCTGGTTAAAAGGGGTTAAAAACTGACTATTTTCATGCTTTTAATCATGTTTTATAATGTTATATCTTTTACCCTGCACTAATGTTTGTCATCTGGCTACAACCCACAAAGTTCTAATGCGTTTTTGCAGGGTGTTTTTTTTTTCATTTTCCAGGCATATGACACACTTTAATTTTTACTACATTAAATACCAAGGTTAGATTTCTCAAATAGCCCATTTTTTTTTACATACCAATTTACCCTCAAATGCCTTTTAGAATTTTGGGACAATGGTTGTTACTTTTGAAGATTAGTAAATTCAACTACAAAATGACCATATTTCTAGGTAGATTGTTTTCTTTTAGTGCAGTTGTACAGCTCTTTCCTTCAGAACTAAGGGGTAGTTGTGTGTGTGGCCGTCCAAACGGTCAGCCGAGAGTTCCAATGGATTAAGTGGAATTAACCAACTGCAGGTGAGATCAGACCAGAGCGGCAAAGTGAGACCTGCCAAAATACTGATCACACAGATTATTCACTGCATCAAAGACCTTGACATAACTGTGTGCTGATATAGATAAGGTATCATTCGACTAGCATATTCTCATAAAAATCTACAATACTGCTGATGTGTTACAAACAGACTGCTTAATATCTAAGTAATCAATCTTCTTTTTAAAATAAACTAGCATTGTTACAAATACATAATTCTACACTAATTCGAGAAAATGTGGACAAAGCGCTATGCATGAGTGTGTTTAAGACTGTGGGGTTGCTAAAAGGAGAAATTGGAGAGAAAGAGCTAGAGGAAGAGAAAGAGAGGAAAGGCAGAAAGCGGTATTGATTTCTTAGGGTTAAGCAGGGCCTGTAATTAAAATGTTAATTTGAGAAGGAGAGAGATAGTGACCTGACAGCAGAGAGGGGGATAAGAGGCCTGATAATGAGGATGACAGAACGGGACAGAGACCAAAATGGAGAAAAGGATAGGAGTGGACAGAGAGGCAGGAGGAGAGCAGGAGGGGGAGAGGGGCAAAAGTGAATGAGAGGCAGAATTAGTGATCATTAATGATAAATACAACACTAAGCTTTTGGAGTACTGTCCCAATTAAACCAAATTGCGTTGTACCAGTAGTTACACTTGTAGTTTTTTTTTTTTTTTTTCAGTATTCAAGTTAGGATGTATGTACTGTATTGTGGTACTTTTGTAAGCATACAGTATCGGTATAAAGATAACAATTTATGAAGGGAAGAGAGTGGAGAGGTTATTACTTTGCCCGCATGTCATATTGTAGCATTAAACCTTATGCATAATCACATTACAGATGTTTCTATTGCTAAAAATACCTCCTGCATTCTTCCAGTGAGCAGGTTTGCCTCTCCACAGATCTTACCTATAAATTGGCCTGTCTGTGTCATCTGCTTATCTCCATAAAAAATAGTACATCTTAATGCCAGTCTTCATGGACACAGGCAGCACCCTCTCCCAAAAAGTTTAATAGTGCATTCTTAAAATGCAAATACTATAAATGAAAGCATTTTTGGAGTCAATTTTAAGGTTACACCATAATTACAATATGATAAAGTAGTGTGGTACGATGTATTGACTGCAGCAAAGTGTGTAAAAGTGGGTGGTAAAAAACTAGGTGCGAGGCTAATAGGGGCTCATTAAAAAGGTTGCATTGTTAATTTGGTATGGCCTCTGTAGATCATTACCTAACCCACTAATCACCCTGACAACACACACACAGCTGTTTTGGCCACATCAGATACTATCTAATTACTTTAACGTCTAATTGATTAGTAATGGAGGGTGTGCGGCGGGTGGAGAGAGAGGCAGCCTTTTGCAGGTAAAAACTGTTCTTGTGTAGGATGCAATGACTCAGGAAGTCAGTGGGGAGTACACAGATGAGCTGGGGGTCATAGGTCATAGAGAAGCCACAACATAGGAGTGGCTGATGGAGCGAAAAAGGTATGGTCAACAACATGTTTGGGTTATGACTTCATTAAGGAATACACTTAAAGTAAGAACATACACATAAACACACATGCCATAAATGTATATGAGTGATGTGCATCAATATGGCTGACAGCGCAACAGTGAGACAGCTTTAGTGCCCTCCTTTAGCCTGGAGCTTACACATATAGTCACTCATAATGATATTAACAGCATTCAAATTCCAATGATTAAAAAATATGTTTTTTGGAGCTGACTGTGCAATATAACGAGGAGGCGCTTGTTTAATGACCTGAGCATTTGACCTCTCACCCGGGTCTCTGCCTGAAGGCTAAACAAGACCCATACAAGAGAGAATACAATTCAGCCACGTCTGCCAGAAGAAACAGCACTTCAACAGTCAATCATATGTAGCTAGCTATAGGAGAGAGTGGAGGTAAATGGATGTGTTGACAGGACAAAATCCATCACAGATAGACAGAGTAAACACTCGGGGTAAAAAACTATTTGTCTCCATTACAGAGCGGGCACACGTTCCCAAATCAGCTGCTAACAAATATGGGAGCCAAAGCCAGAATTGGAAATAAGCTAGATAAAGCCAAATTGTGATGCAAGTTTCAAACACAGTAGTATACATTAGGTTAACAGCCAATGTAGAGATAGGTTTAGTCGCATTTCATTGTTTCAGGATATTAACATGTCAAACAAAGTACAAATACTTGAAGTAATGTGCTATGACTTTATAGCTTCTGTTTTGTGCACTTGGGCAAGACACATCACCTCCCTTGAAAAAAATAAAATAAAAAATGTATTAATATGCTGTGAGAAGGGCTGGTAGTTGTTAGAGTAGCTGATGGCATAAATTGGAAGCCACATCTCACTCTGTCAGCCCCAGAGCAGCTGTGGCAAATTATAGTGCCACTTCTATTTAGTTTAGTTTATTTGTTTGTTTATCAGGGGCAATGCACATAAAATAAAATAAAAAACACTGACCTTCACAAAGAGGTAATATGCTTATGTCAGTTTATAGCAAGACTGTTAATTTCCACCTTCAGTCCCTGTACAGGTTGATGTCATAAATGGTGTACACGCCAATAAGTGTCAAAAAAAGATACCATTAATGGGTTATTATTAGTCCTGAATAATATATAACACCCATCAGATAGCCTAGTTGTAATAATTATAGTTTTGCTGAACATTTGTAGAGATAATGGCATTAGCTAATTGATCTGTTATGTGATGGTTCAAACACTTCAGGTTTTAGTGTAGGTTAAGGAGCAGGTTTCTCTGGAGCTCTACATCTGCCCGGTCTTTGAAGCATGCCTGCGTTTATTTACTAAGAGAGTGTGAATCTTACGGGATTAGAGCTGCAGCAGGTCTCTTTTTGTAGTTTCAACTCTTTATTTACCACATGTCAGCAGGTTAGATCGGTGCACACACAAGGCTAACGAAATGAAAACGTACCATACTCTGTCCGGAGGTGCTCTGGAATGTGTGGCTCGTAACCCTCCTTCTCTGGGACCTCATCGAAATCATCATCATCGTCATCTTTATCTCCATCTCCATCTGAGGATGCTTTCATCTGAAAACCAAATTAAAAAAAATTGTTATGAAATAAAGGTTTTCAAATAAGGAAACGGATCACACCTAGATCATTAACATTTGAGAAAAGATGAAAAAATGAAGAACTAGAAACCCTACACTACTACTACAAGAATCCCGTCCAATATAATTTCAAGGAAATTTTATTAAGTTAGAGCTAAATAAAGCTCTGGAGGGACAGAAGTGATGGTTGCCACAGTTATGTGTAAAGTTCTATTATATTTTTCATTGTTTGTCCATTTTATTTTATGGTGTATGATGAGGCTAGTAGATGACACTGCTAATACATTTATTGCCAAAGCCATTCTGTTATAGTCCTGATCCTAAACTTAACTGATTAATAATTTTTACTTTATTTATTCTTTTACTTGGACAATTTAGGTGTTGTGGTCGTCTTTGCTCTTCCCTGGACAACCTGGAGGCGGTGGGTTGGTACGTGTGAGAGGTAGTCTAGTCTTATATGAGCTGCTATCAGCACTAAGCAGAATTTATGGTTTTTAATTTCCTGCTGTGGTTGTTAGCCATTGGCTGAGCTACAATGCAGAACACAACAGTCCTATACACCAGGGTCATTTCCATAACCCAACCGTGTGTATGTGTGTGTGTAGCTACGCCTTTAACAGCTCAAGACACACACCGCCGCCTCCTAGTATAATAATGGCAGTGATTAGCATTATGAGGAGCAATAAAAGCTAACGTTAAACTAACTTCTTATTCCCAAAGGCCTCTTTTTCATTAGCCTGTCTGCGTGTGTGTCAGTGCTGATAAAACCCAGGAGAGCGTTAGCATTCATTTACAAATGATGAGACCACTGATGATTACGGACCACAGCCGCTCACCCGTGCACACATGAAGAAGAGGGCACCGTAACCAAAGTGTAGGACAGGCTCAGCTAACCATGCTAGTCCTAAACACACCTCAAACATCCGGCAATTAAGGCTTTATGTTACAATAATACAATCGGTTAACAGCAAATAAACAATTGAAGCCTAATTAGTTCCAATTAAAAGGGCAAAAAGACATTAACAGCTGGTGCATGAAAGAAAGAAAGCTTGGAAATCCATTATTTTTGTTGTTATGCTGATCAACAGTGATGTCAGGTATGATTTAAACTTGCGCATAAAGCAAAGAACAAGAACAAATACTGACACTGTAAAAAATCTAGTGATCCAAATCCAGTGAATTAAAAATAAAATTTTTTTTTTTTTTTGTTATATCACCAAAGCTGTAATTTTTGAGACCTGTTTTTGACTTAAATAATTTACCATAATAAGTCTACCTGTGAACAGACTATAATCAACATGTATGTTAATGTAACATCGCATAAAGACTTTATAGGTTATAAGACTGACAAGTATCAGCTGCAGTTTTGGTATGGGTTGATTTCTTTTGCGCCACTTACATAAAAAATAAACCAATATAAAGAAGTCTGTGATAAACAGAAGGAAAAAGTAACGCTAAAAAGTTCCCACAATGGCTTCTTTAATCTCAAGAAAACGTGCCGTCCTGAAAAGATCCCTAGTCTTGATCTTATTTATCCGCTTAAGACAGGATGCAGTTCCCTGGGAGTGCCCCATTCTAACCACCAAACTTTCTACATTACTCTTACCCTCTGCCGCACTCCCTCATCCTCTGCACAATGGAACACATCTATACACACAGATATCACCAGTGTTGGTTTTGTGCTTGTCGCCTTTAATCCCGCCTGGTTTATTCTGTTCTGATCAATGACCTACGACTAAGAAGTGATCGCCTAGCCAGAGGAAAATCCTGCCCTAACATCATCCCTTTTCCCCTTCTCTCTGCATCTTTGTCTCTAATTCACCTTAATTTAATCGTGATAGCATCAGGCGCTGTCGGCTGGCCTGGCAGAGCTGTAAGTCTCACAGTAGAATTAGCTTTCAACCAGAAACATTTTGCTGACGGGGAGCGAGGCTAAAATATGGCCTCTATTCCCCCCACATGGCTGCGCAAGAGGCTGCTTTGCATTTTAACAGAGCTCTGGTTTATTCTCCGGAGCACGCACGGTAGGCTGCACGAAAAAAAAAAAGAGATATAAAATAAAAAAGGTAGAGAAGATGGCTTAGAGGAGATAAAAGCAGTTTCTTTAACCGAAACTCAAGATTTAGCAGACAAATTAGAAGTGATGGTTTAGGTAAAGCGGAGCCATGAGTCACTATAATAGGAAAAGGGGACAAAACAAATACTCGTAACTTTAACGGTAAAAACTCAGCACAATGGAAATAAAAACTGTTCTGGAAAAGAGTAGAATAAATAAAATAAAGTTGTTTAAGTAAAGAAGGGTGATGTGTTACTGTAATGGTAAAGCTTACTCAGAGATAAAATAAAGAACAAGTTAAATGGAAAATAGAGGCAGGAAAGAAAAATAATAGTTCTCTTAAAAGCAAATAAAGATCTGTTTAAGGTGGGTGCTGAAGACACAGCAATTCATTACACCCTAGGGTGCCAATTCAACCCTATTCTGAAACAAATATTCTCCCGACAGTCATGAATGGTACCAGTCTATCTGTACAAGTAATTATTTCTACTTGTCTACAAAGGAACTTTTTGTAAAAAAAAAAAAAAAAGTTTTTATGAAATGCTGTTGAATTTAATGATGATTTAATAAACAATTGTGCATATAGTATATACAAGTCTTCACTTTTGGATCATAACTACTTTTAGCAGCATTGTGTTTTGCACATGCGGTCATAGAAAACTATAGATTGTTTTGTAGGTTTGAACACCTTAGAGGAGCCAAGACTATTCAGGTGAATGATTCTGAAACAAGTGCAGTAATAGGGTTAGAAATGATGTCTCCACAGGTGTCTTCCTAACTCACTTTCTAGAACATCTCTTAATGTGTCCCATTTAAATAAGACTCTAATCCTTAGAAAATGATGCGAAGGCACCGCCCCGGACAACTACACCTCTGACTTCATTTGTCTCTTGGCAAGTTTGATGGTGCTGTGTTTAAAAACCCATTCAATCTTATAAACCAAAAATTAAATGTAGTCGACTGAGATGGGCACTCAGTGCATCTGCTATTTATATGCTAATGTACACTCAGACTGCCAAGGTCTGGCAAATTATTACTGCACAGCCATAAGTCAGGTGTGTGGAGAGAGGAGGGGCAGGCTAACCATCACACAAACACACACAGTATAAGGAGGACTCTTGTGAGAGGGGAGGGGGGAGAGCAACTTTAGAGGAGCATCTTCACTGACAACTTAATAGAACTCTCACAAACCACACTGTAAGGAGATTATTCCACTGTGCATTTAGGGCTGAAATGGAAATGTGTTTGTAACAACTGCATAATCAACAAACAGTTTATTTAAAATAGAGCAATGAGACGCAAATGAGAATCACCATTCAGTGCATAAAACACAGTCACATTCCAGGCACCTGAACTTTAGGATTTTTTAAAATGATCTAGGATTTTTTTTTAATCATAAAAAAAAGTTAACTTGCTTTTTGAAAACTAAACCTCATTCAGTGCTGGTGTCCTGGTTCAAAGTTTAAGTGTAATTAACAACTGAACAAGTCAACAATGTTCTATGTGACATTATAACACTACTGCATATTATCATGTGATTCACCAAAAACATTCAGTCAAAGCTTTGATTAGTCATCACAACTTTATTTTAATTAAATCTGGGGGCAAGGCTGTGCAATTATGAAAATGTAAACAAGATTAAGATTCAGTCATTTCTAATAGTCAATGATCAGTTTAAGAGGACTACAGTCAAACCTATGTCAGTAAAAGTATTTGGTTCAGAGTAGAATTCAGATTTTAAGAAATTTGAGTTTCTTTTGTGTTAAATGGCAATGATTAAAAGTCTGTCTTGTTTATTGCCAAATTAATGGCAATCAAACTGAAAATGTTCACTATGAGACAGCCCCACATGTCAGCATAAAACATTGGCACATTAAAACAGCACATAAAGTCTTCCTTAGAAGTGTTTAAATATACAATAGCCTCAACTAAAAGAAAGCAGAACTCCACTGATTGACTTGAACATATTTACAAACTAATTAGGCCGTAAGCTTCCACTCCAGTCTGACCTATTCACAAGTTAAATGGGCACAACAACACTGCACAGCTCTATTACCACCTTGCACTCCAATTCATTACTACCTACAGAGCGTCCCATGGGGGCCGCCACTAATGAGAAAAAAAGCTCCTCTTTCCAACTCCTCCCTCTCCCCACTCTGTAGCATCCCAACCTCTTCTGCAGCATTACCACATAACGCCAAACGCAAACCTTTGTCTCCAGGGAGCAGTCAGCTTATATGATGTAAAAGGTGACATCTTTATTTCGCTAACCTAGGCTGGCAGGTCTATTAGCCAACCAAGAGCTTCGCCAACCTTCTCCTGTCAACGGGCTTATTTCCAACTGTCTGCTTCACTTCGCCTTCTCGCCTTGTCTTAATCTGTGATCAAAAGAGTCATTATTAGACTCTCTTTTTGAATCAAGTCATCAGAGTTACTGTTAGACAAGGTAAAATGTACATTTTTTGTTTTTTGCAGTGTATCTACCTCTTAAAACAACAGCATATATAATCGGAGATCAATTCACTTCCCATTTGAAAGACATCTCTATTCACTGTATAAAGACACCAAATGAGGCCAACAGGTGGCCCACACAATTGCAGCATACTATTTCTGAATAAACAGATTATCACACACCCTCCCTAATATATCTTTTCCCGTCTATAGACTTCTTTTAATGCATTGAATAAAATCTGGTTACCTGTCCTAGTATAGATATAGTATAGGCTTAAATAACACCTTTGGAAGTTAGTTTGTAATGTGTCCATTATAAATAAGCATGCATGTGTAAAGTAAAAAATAAATAAACAATGAATCCACAGGGGGGCACAGAGAATACAATCGGAGGATGGGTCAGAAAGAAAACCATAAACTTCTCTGATGGATAGACATTATGGACTAGTGTGTGGCCAGTGTATCAGTGCATATTATTTTCAAATGACATCGTTCTTGTTGACCATTCAAATAATGACATAATAACAATACCAATCTAAATGCATGCATGGATCATAATGTTACTAAGCGACAAGAAGACAATAAAAGTACAAAAAAGAGGAGTGGTAGTGGAAGAGAGAAATAAAAGGATATTGTTTCTTTTGTTTATCTCTGTGCAGGAACAGGCGGCCACATCCATTGTGCAGTGATAAGATGGGTTATCAGCAGTAAACAAGGCCTTGGCCTGTATGAATGGAGCCCAGAGTGAGTGAATACACTCTTAAAAACAGATATGTTCAAATAAGTCTGTGTGCCTTGTCCTATTCTTAACGCAGAGCCATGTATTCATTGCACCACTCAAAAGATGCTTATAAGATTGGTATTAGAACAAAAATCAATAACAAACGAAAACAGAAGATAATATACTCTGACATTTCTGTCAGTTGTTTGTAGCAGCACTTTAACCTGGCTTGTTCTAAAGGGCTAATCCTTAGCTGGATAAGGACGCACGGTGTAGCAATAAAAACTAAGGAATTGTATCTGTCACAAACATTAGAAAAAGTCCACCGAATTTCATTTGAGGAATTTGTCTTATCTTTGGCTAAATAAAAAGGAAAAAGACATGACCAAAACATTTTTTGTAAACTTACACTGACACTGCCTAACGGAATTGTTTTGTAAAATAGAGTATATAATGGGCGGTCAAATAACCATTTCCATTCTTATTCAGTTACATTATATTAATTAAAATATATATTATATAAATATTTCAAGAAGCATGGCTGACGGAGGTTTGCTTTGACATGTTACATGCAACTGTGTAAGCCAAACCTTTCAAAACTGAAGCCAGCCTTTTTACTTTAATATTCTGTTTTCAATGCAGATGCAGTGTTTTAATATTGCATTCAATAAACTTCCCTCTCTATCAGCATCCATAGCAGCCTGTTACAGTTTACCGTCTCTCTCCAAGTCCCCGTTATGGGACACTATATTGAAAGGCCCTTAGAGAGAGAATCCAATCGTGTGGTGTGTCAGCGACCCGATAGAGAAGGACCCAGTAATGGAAGGCCTTTTAAGGCTAAAAAGGAAAAGCTAATTATGATAAAGGGGCTGTAAGTTGTGTGGTTATCGCGGCGCTGGGCCTGCTGGTGCAGCAGACTGGTCCCTGACAGTGATAACCAGGCAGAGCAAGAAGCCTAGCGCTCTGTCACTGTCACTTCGCTGCTCTGTTCAGCTAAAGATGGATTCACGCGCTACAACTTTTATGCAGCTTTTTCAAAAGCATAAACCACTTTGCATTCATTTGTCCTCTTTAAGACTGGAGTTTGCACTCTTTTAAAAGGTTTCGTAGACCTCTTCCATTTGTCACCAACTAAATATTATTACATACCAAATCTTTTTTCCCATATAAATGCTATCAAATTTTAAATGATACAGGACAATCAGGGCATTCTGGTCCAGGTGGAGGAATGATGCTAAGCTTTGATAGAGTGGTAGCAGATAGACATATCAGCTGTCAAGCCACGGGGCACATTAGTGCTAGTGATGGGAATGAATGGGTACATCCTCCCCCTTGCTTCCCAATTTCTTGTCTCTGTCTCTGATGCATTATGCATTATGGCTTTAGCAGGCTGCATCTGACCTTTCTGAAATGTTTTTACTTAATTTTTTTGCCCCTACTCTCTGTCTCAATTATGACACTCTAAAGACTCAAACAAAAATATAAAATCTAAAGGCAAAACAAGACACTGGGATAGACACTAGACAAGAAACTGAAGCCAGACAGAATTAAAGGTGTGTAAATTGCAATTCATTAGTCTTCTTGCAAAATATATCATTATAACGTAGCATCAAAAAGAACTAGTTAAGTCCCTTAAACATGTAAGTTTCCAACTGTCCAATAAATTGAATTCTGATGTCAGCAGTTTTCATTTGTTGCTGACTGCTGCCATCTGCTGGTGGCTCATGTGTAACTCACCACTTTGCGCACTCTGGTCTTGTAGTCGATATGTAGCTCTTTATGTTTATGTAGAGCAGCTTCCAATGATTTCTTGAGATCCAGTGCTTTCCTCAACAACCTCTGCTCAGCTCCTGCTTTGGTCAAAACCTAAGTCCAAATGAATCATGTAAAAGCAGCAATCTTCACATGATACATTTAAACCACCACATATAATAAATATTGTACTGTGTACTGACTGACTGTACTGACCTGAACCCATCCCTGTACCGCAGGGAGATGTTTTGCTGTTATCAATCTGTGCAGGTCTATAACTGTAGATACAACTGCCTCATTATCTTCATTTTCTTTGACATGGAGTCCTAAAATAACACACACAAAAGCATATTAAGAAGTTAAGCATTGAGATTAAATTTACATATTTAAGTCTTTAAGTGGACTCTTACCAGAGCTCAAGTTCAGATCCAGACTGTATGAGTGCGAGATAAGCCCAGAGTTGCGTATAAAGTCTTCATTAGGAGGGTGCTCTTCCTCGCTACCTTCTTCATCCTCATCAACATCATCATCATCTCTATTTTGGCTTGTGTTATCTGGCTTCTGCAGTTCTGTTCCTATTTTCCCATTATGTTCTTCATTTGTTGCTTGTTTTTCTAATAATTTCTCATCACTTGGTCCATTAATTAAGTCTTTAGTACAACAAGGCTGTTGGTCATTTACGTCAACTAGGTGGCAGTTTGGAGAGTAACTTCTAGCCATGTCCTCTTTTACATTTGTGAGCTCAAACTCAGGAAACAGCAGCTTCATGCAGGACTCCATCTCAATCAGGGTTGCTTCAATTTCTTCATAAGAGTCTAAAACATAATGAAGTAATTAATTCATGAGTGTAACAAAATTAAAGTTATGCAGCTATTGTTATATACAAAATGTGTTCACCTTCCATGTCTTTGGTAGCTGCATCTGCTTTTTCCTTATAAATGCGCTCTAGTCGACTTCTTCTTTCTTCCTCCCTTGTTCTTTCAGCCACAGTCCTGGTCTCAGCATCCTGAAAATCCACCTGAATGCAATAAAGAGAAGTAATGTAATATTCACAGCTGTAATGTTTAAATCTCATGTTTTTAGTCCCTCACCTTTTTAACCTGCTTGAGAAAATGATATCCAAGTGCCAGTTTTTTGTAAGCTGAGCCGTAAGATGCCTGCCAGGACTGGACTGTCTTGATGGCCAAATGCTTTAACTTCTTTGCTACTTCTTTTGGAGGTGGCAAGGGCTGATCAAGGTCCGTCTCTACAGTCAACTCTAAAAATTCCTATTGTAAAAGGGACATGAAGGATTGAAATGAGAAAGGTAAGTTGGTATATAGCATAAAGCACATATACAATTTTAAAAGTAAATTGTATGATCAAAATGATTGTAAAATTTTAATGTCCTAAGAAAATTATTATTACCTGGAAACTATCCACCAATAACGTCCTAAAGTGATGTGATCTATTGAAAAGTTCACTGGCTATTTGAAAAGCAGAAAACCGTATTTCTGAGTGATCTTGGTTCAGCTGGGACATGACTGAATGGTAGACGTGGTTTATGCAGTCATTAGAGACCCTGGAAAGACATGTGGTGAAGTTAAAGCAACATGTTACCATGTTATAAACCATATTTGAACTATTTCCAATGACATACTTGCAGAGCTTCTTGATTTCCTTCATCTTGTCCTGGTTTAGCTCACCCTGTCCTGATGTAGTCAGCTCCTCCACAAGCTCTGACAGTCTATCTCTCTGTGACAACTCCATCTCTGTCAAATACAATCATACCCCTGAGAAATTGAAACATAAAACATGTTTGCTTTTCTAATCATCTAATCAGATTCAAAAGACTTGGTAGTGTACATGTGTGTAGATCTGGTAGAACTGGTAGATCTACACACATTACAACACGCGTACTATGACAGGATTGTAAATTGCACAGATATAACATGTATCCCAAATATTATTAAATTATATGCTAATGCTAAAATGCTAGCAATGGTAAAGATAAAAAAAAATTTAAAATAAAATAGCCAGTCCAAACATACTCACCACACGCTTGCTTATTTTGCAGTGTCTTTAGGCGAGAATTGCTTTATCAAAAGCCATTTTTGGCAGTAAATATAGCATTTGATCATAGATTTAGGCTATGTCGTTACATATTATTACGCAGCATGAGCTCCTCCTCCTCGTCATTGTTTTCTTCGCTGTTTGGCGAGGAACCCTTTGGAAAGCTCCATTGCTGCCCGCCCCCTGGTGGGCAACTTTGTTCACTGCACTGACAGAGATACTTCAGCAGAGGTGTGTTGTACGTGAAGTCCTTTTATTTGCGAAGAAACCATGGTAACTATATGTGTTGTATCAACAGGTGTCCGAAATCTTCACCTGGATCATCCGGGAGAGCAGGCGGCTGCATCCGAAGGGAGGAGGAAAAGGCTGAAAACAGTTTGGACACTCCCCGAACCCGAGAGCAGCCTCAGATCATGCACATCCCGCTGACAGGACAGGCCTCACAATCATATTAAGTGTTGCACTGAATAAAACTACATCAAACTGAATGTAAATGCATTATCCTGTTTCTCCACAACCCGTGGACTGACACCACATCACCAGAGCACACAGCACAGAGCTCAAAATAAGTTTGCACGCTTTGACCTGATCTATGGCGAAAATTACTTTTATAATATTTTGTAATAAATGTATAAATAAATAATATTTTGTAATAAATATATACAATATTATATATCAGTTGTGTGTCTGTGTTATACAACGCTCGGCCCTTTTTCTCTCTAATTGTAAGCGTCTGTGATTATATAAAAGTGGATAGAAGTGAAATGAAGAGAGAAGAGTGTTGGATGTGTAATTATAAAGAAACTGGTTTCAGAATTCCTAGATCATTTTACTGCGTGAAGGTGGTAGCAGAACCTCATTACAGTACGCATGCGCAGTCTGCCATTCACTTACAACATGTAGAATGGGAAGCATATTATTCCAATAGATAAATGTTCAACAAAGAGGGAAGGAGGGACGCGTTTCATTCAAACATCGGGCCCAATCAGCTGTCAGTGCACGTGCATTTCCCATCTTACGTTTGGACATTGTAATCCATAACGGCGGGTTACCTGCTGCCGCCCTCAGCTATATATATATATATATATATATATATATATATATATATATATATATATATATATATATATATATATATATATATATATATATATATATATACTTGCCTTAATGCCTATTTTAGAAGGGTAGTGTAGTTTATTTTATTCTCCATTAATGTGCAATAGGCTATAATATTACCTTTAATTCAGTTTGTTCATGTTATTGTCGTGGTTAACATTTTATAATCCCCAATGCCTCTGCTTACCTGACTGTGATGATTCCTGCGTTGGTATGGAGTGTTCAGAGAAGAATCCAAAAACAAGCTCTGATAGTGTAGTATTATTTATTACAAAAACAGAGTTAAAAAAAGCCTAATTACAGACAAAGGTCCAGGCGACCTCTGGCCAATATGAGACACCCCTACTAGCATCAGGATCCGCAGCGGATCCGCTTTCGGTCCGCCAAATCCGCCCCACAGTCCGTCCGCTTTGCGGATCCGCTGCGTATTTGTTCCGTATTCGCTTTCTGACTGTTGCTAACCCTAACCCTTGGATGGCCTGCTGTTTCAGAGAGAATCTGCAGTTAAATCATCTTAGATGCGCACTGTGAACGTACTTTTAACACAACACTTTGTTTTTGACACACTGATTTGTACTATCAATGCGCGGATCCACGACTAAACCGGTTCGGATTCGCTGCGCGGACGCGCCACTGACTCATCAGCCGTTATCGGGACCTGAGTGGAAAGAAGCAGCACCCACCTGTTGTCCGCGGATTTAACTGTAAGTAATTATTTAAAAGTTAATTGTATTAGTCATCATGAATGTACATAACGTTAACATTATATTGTGATGTCTGTAGATCTGTGACTGTGTGTGTTTTATCAGTTTTGACGAGTTCAGTAGGAAAGTTAGCGACAGAAGCAGCTAACGTGATGAAGACGATGTGAGGTCAGGAGTCAGGATAACTCCATCTCTTGAGCTAGATCCCAGTCTAAATACTAATTTTATATAACGCTGCTTATATTCCTGTATATTTTTACGATCACAGAATTGTAATTCTGCTCCGTGATCATTGGTCGTGTCTAACGGACTCGGTTCTGGCTGGACGCCGCTCTCGGCGCTCTCCCTTCGGCTGTGGAGCGACGGTGACACCGGTGTCTGATCTGGTTGTGTTTTTAACCAGAGATAATTATTATTTGTGTAGACTAGAGTGTTGACTGTTGAGTTGAGACTAAAGTGCAGTCATGCCAGTGCCTTAATACGATAATTTAACGCAACGTCCATCCATCCATCCATCCATTTTCGTCCGCTTATCCGGGGCCGGGACGCGGGGGCAGCAGCCTAAGCAGGGACTCCCAGACTTCCTTCACCTCAGACACGTCCTCCAGCTCCTCCAGGGGGACCCCGAGGCGTTCCCAGGCCAGCCGAGAGACATAGTCCCTCCAGCGTGTCCTGGGTCTTCCCCGGGGCCTCCTCCCGGTGGGACATGCCCGGAACACCTTCCGAGGGAGGCGCCCAGGAGGCATCCGAAACAGATGCCCGAGCCACCTCAACTGGCTCCTCTCGACGTGGAGGAGCAGCGGCTCTACTCCGAGCTCCTCCCGTGTGACTGAGCTCCTCACCCTATCTCTAAGGGAGCGCCCAGCCACCCTGCGGACAAACCCATTTCAAGCGCTTGTATCCGCGATCTCGTCCTTTCGGTCACTACCCAGAGCTCATGACCATAGGTGAGAGTAGGAACGAAGACTGACCGGTAAATCGAGAGCTTCGCCTTTCGGCTCAGCTCCCTTTTCACCACAACGGTCCGATACAGCGACCGCATCACTGCCGAAGCTGCACCGATCCGCCTGTCAATCACCCGTTCCGTCCTTCCCTCACTCGTGAACAAGACCCCGAGATACTTGAACTCCTCCACTTGAGGCAAAGACTCCCCACCCACCCGGAGAGGGCAAGCCACCTTTTTCCGGTCGAGAACCATGGCCTCAGACTTAGAAGAGCTGATCTTCATCCCAGCCGCTTCACACTCGGCTGCAAACCGCCCCAGTGCACACTGCAGGTCCTGGTTCGATGAAGCCAACAGGACAACATCATCCGCAAACAGCAGAGATGAGATCCTGTGGTCCCCAAACCGGACCCCCTCCGGCCCCTGACTGCGCCTAGAAATTCTGTCCATAAACACAATGAACAGAACCGGTGACAAAGGGCAGCCTTGGCGGAGTCCAACATGCGAACACAGCTCCTGCTCCGGTCATACAGGGACTGGACAGCCCTTAGCAAAGGGCCCCGAACCCCATACTCCCAGAGCACCCCCCACAGGACACCACGAGGGACACGGTCGAATGCCTTCTCCAAGTCCACAAAGCACATGTGGACTGGTTGGGCAAACTCCCATGAACCCTCGAGCACTCTATGGAGAGTGTAGAGCTGGTCCAGTGTTCCACGGCCAGGACGAAAACCACACTGCTCTTCCTGGATCTGAGGTTCAACTATCGGCCGGATTCTCCTCTCCAGTACCCTGGCATAGACCTTACCGGGAAGGCTGAGGAGTGTGATCCCCCTATAGTTGGAGCACACCCTCCGGTCCCCCTTCTTATACAGAGGGACCACCACCCCGGTTTGCCAGTCCAGAGGTACTGTCCCCGACCGCCACGCGATGTTGAAGAGGCGTGTCAGCCAAGACAGCCCCACAACATCCAGAGACTTAAGGTACTCAGGACGGATCTCATCCAACCCCGGAGCCTTGCCACCAAGGAGCTTTCCAACCACCTCAGTGACTTCAGCCTGGGTGATGGATGAGTCCGCCTCCGAGTCCCCAGCCTCGGCCTCCTCCTCGGAAGACGTGACCGTGGGATTGAGGAGATCCTCAAAGTATTCCTTCCACCGCCGGACAACGTCCCCAGTCGAGGTCAGCAGCTCTCCCCCCGCACTGTAAACAGTGTTGGCGAAGAACTTCTTCCCCCTCCTGAGGCGCCGGACGGTTTGCCAGAATCTCTTTGAGGCCGTCCGATAGTCCTTCTCCATGGCCTCCCCGAACTCCTCCCAGCTCCGAGTTTTTGCCTCCGCAACCGCACGGGCTGCAGCACGCTTGGCCCGCCGGTACCCGTCAGCTGCTTCAGAAGTCCCCCGAGCCAGCAAGGCCCGATAGGACTCCTTCTTCAGCTTGACGGCATCCCTTACTTCCGGTGTCCACCACCGGGTTCGGGGATTGCCGCCGCGACAGGCACCACAGACCTTACGCCCACAGCTCCGAGCAGCCGCATCGACAATAGAGGCCGAGAATGAAGCCCACTCGGACTCCATATCTCCAGCCTCCCCCGGAATCTGGGAGAGAAGTCCTCCCGGAGGTGCGAGTTGAAAGTCCCTCTGACAGAGGGCTCCGCCAGACGTTCCCAACAGACCCTCACTACACGCTTGGGCCTGCCAGGTCTTTCCTGCTTCCTCCTCCGCCAGCGAACCCAACTCACAACCAGGTGGTGATCAGTTGACAGCTCAGCCCCTCTCTTCACCCGAGTGTCCAAGACACGCGGCCGGAGATCAGATGACACGACTACAAAGTCGATCATCGACCTCCGGCCTAGGGTGTCCTGGTGCCACGTGCACTTATGGACACCCTTGTGCTCGAACATGGTGTTTGTTATGGACAAACCGTGACTAGCACAGAAGTCCAATAACAAAAGTCCAATAACAAGGCCGTTCCTCCCAATCACCCCTCTCCAAGTGTCACTGTCGTTGCCCATGTGGGCGTTGAAGTCCCCCAGGAGAACAACGGAGTCCCCAGTCGGTGCACTGTCTAGTACCCCTCCCAAGGACTCCAAGAAGGCCGGGTACTCAGCACTGCTGTTCAGCCCGTAGGCCGACACCACAGTGAGAGACCTGTCCCCGACCCGAAGGCGCAGGGACGCGACCCTCTCGTTCACCGGGGTGAACTCCAACACACAGCAGCTGAGCTGTGGGGCAATGAGCAGGCCCACACCAGCCCGCCGCCGCTCCCCGCGGCCAACGCCAGAGAAATGGAGAGTCCAGCCCCTCTCAAGGAGTTGGGTTCCAGAGCCCAAACTGTGCGTGGAGGTGAGGCCGACTATATCTAGTCGGTAACGCTCAACCTCCCGCACAAGCTCAGGCTCCTTCCCCCCCAGCGAGGTGACATTCCATGTCCCCAGAGCAAGTCTCCATGTCCGGAGAGCCGGTCGTCGAGGCCCCCGCCGTCGACTGCCGCCCAGATCTCTCTGCACCGGCCCCATATGGCTCCTCCCGCGGGTGGTGGGCCCACGTGAGGATGGCCCCACGTCGCTCCTTCGGGCTAAGCCCGGCCGGGCCCCGTGGGGGAAGCCACCAGGCGCTCGCTGACGAGCACCCACCCCAGGCCTGGCTCCAGGGTGAGGCCCCGGTGACGCCAATCCGGGCGACGTAACTGGCCTCTGTGTTGCACTCATCATAAGGGGCTTCTGAACCGTTCTTCGTCTGACCCGTCCCCCCGGACCTGTTTGCCTTGGGTGACCCTACCAGGGGCATGAAGCCCCCGACAACATAGCTCCCGGGATCATTCGGGCACTCAAACCCCTCCACCATGATAAGGTGACGGTTCAAGGAGGGGACGCAACGTGCCTTAATACAATAACGTAACGTAATAAAAAGCACAACTTTTAACAACAGCTAACGTTAGCTAACCAACCAAAACTTATGTTGTTTTTCCCCAGATGACATCAGGAGCCCCTGTCCTTCTGCTGAGTGTCCCCATCAGGAGCCCGGCACACTGATCAGAAGTAAGTACTTTTCATGGTTTCTGTGACAGTGAAGATTTAGTTTAGAGCCAGATCTGACTTTGTCTCTAACTTTCTGTTATGGGACTTGAGATGGTGCTTTAGGCTTTCAGTGAAAGGTCTGACATGTTGACATGAACACTAATGTGTCACATCTAAATTACACTGATATTGACTATGAACACCATCATAAATTGATTATTATATTTTAAATGTTGTGGTAAAAGCAAATGTAGTAGAGTATTGTGTATTAACAGCAGTGAAATACGTCTCATGTTCATACTCAGGCTTATACTAAAACAAAAGAGTTCAGTTTTACTGCGCTAAAGTATTTCCTATGAGTTAAATAATGTTTTTCATCTCTGTTTCAGAATATACTATGGTTAATAAGAAGAGGGACATAACAGCATGATATAGACCCTCTGGAGGTAAATACTGCACTTGTATTAAACACTGAGGCCTGAAATGATCCAAACTGATATCCAAACTCTTATTTGATGTATTACAGAACTCCCTCTGCTGGGCCAAGTTCCGAAAATGTAGAGACAGACCCTCTGTAAGTTTACTGTATTAACCTACTTTTATTAACTTTCATAACTAAACATGAGTACATTATAATCACTGTTGTTGTGCTTATTGTTTCTTTCAGAACATGCTGTGGTGGAGTTTAAAGACTGACCCTCTGTAAGTGCATAGATCTCTCCAATCAAGTGTTTACCTTTCATGTTCAAATCACACAGCCACTGTCATGACTTACAATGTTCTTCACAAACCTGAACTCTTAACTCCTTACAAGAATAAGAGGTGTAATGGGGTGTTTAATACACACTGGTGTCATTTCAGATGCTGTGAGAAAGGGGAAGCCCAGCGCTGGACACTGACAGACTGGATCTTCACCAGTAGGACTGAAGAGGAGCCAGCCTCACTACACCACTGCCTCAAAACCTCTGCCTCAGACTGAAGCTAAAGACAGAGGCTCTGAAGCTCCCACACTGCACACTCTATAAGAACAACCATCCGTCTAATTGTACTGTGGTGGGAAACACAATTTAAGTTTTAGTTTTAACAGTATGGTATGGCTACACTCAGTCTCATCTGTCCAGGCTTTTACCCATATAGCTAATATTTGTTTTTTTGCTATTTAAAAAAAAAAAAAAAACTTTGCTTAACTTGAACTATTTTTAGTAAAAACTGTAAATTGTCATTTTCATATTAAGAATGAAGCATTGGTTAACTCAAAGGGTATATAAGTCCTATACCATTAATAATAATTATTCATGTCCTAAGATTTCTAATTAATGATTTAAATAAACATTGTTTACAATGTTTAAAAAAAAAAGTTTATTTTTTTCTTAACTAATGAGATTTAGTGATAGGATATCACTGATCCAACTTTGAAATTGTTTATGTTTTTAAATTTAAGCCTTTATATCCTAGTTTTAATACTTGCTGTAAAAGTTTTATGTACAATTACAATGCAAATGCTGCTGGTGTGTATTTAGGTCAGTAGGAAGTGGATCAGTATTAAATATATAACCATATTTAGGCTCCTAACGACACAATAAACAGATTCGCGGAGATCCGCGGCAGATCCGCGGCAGATAACCCGGTTCTGAAAGCGGATCCAAAACGGGTCCCGGGCGGATCCGCGAGATACGCAGCGGATCAGCCGCGCCTCCGCCGCGGATCCGGGCTTATTTTGACGGATCCGCGGCGGTGGCGCGGCTGACCCGCTGCGGATCCGCGCGACGGATCCGTTGCGGATCCGCGGCAATGTGCAAGTGAATCTCCGGGCGGATACGCGGCGGATCCGCCCCGATCTGTCCATTTGACACCCAAGATGTAGCTGATCATGCCATTGATGAGAGTCGTCTTAAGACATCCCTCAGAACAAGTATTATACTGCAGCTTTCCATTTTGGACTCATCACCATAAACATATCTTATACACCCAGATGATCCCAGTTCCTCCTCTAACAGCAGTTTTATAGATTGTTGGTATTTCTGAGTCTTCAGAGATCTTCTCACAAATTTGTATGAGATGTTCTCTAAGCTGTGACCTGGTTAAACTGGTGATCCCTTTGCTTGTGCCATTGTCACCACAATCACACATGACCCTAATGGTGTATGGTGCCAGTGGATCTAGTCCAAAAATCAGCATCTGCTCAGAGTTGGACACCTCTTGCTTCCACTGAAGTTCTTTCTCTGTTTCACCATGCTTCACGATGTATCTCTAATATGAACATGTTGCCCAACTTCTGTAGGCCGCTTCCAGCAGACTCATACCTCACTGAAGTTGGCAGTTACTTCAAACTCCTCAGGTGGACCACAAGGTAAAGTCTGAATGAGATTGTCAACTTGAGCAGCAGGCCCCACAGCTACATCTGTGACTACTTGAACTCTGAAGCTGTATTCTGTGTTCAGGCTCAGATCAGTAACTGTTACTTTTTCTCCTTCGGCCTGAGTCTGGTCCCACTCTTCTGCTCCATTCATACAGTACTCCACTTTGTAGCCCGTGATAGTCTCAGCCCCAAATGTGGGACCTGAGAAGCTCAGAGTTACAAGGTTGTGTTCAATTTTATCCACTGTCACTGTGTGAGGCTTTGAAGGAGACTCACAATTGTCACTGACCCGAAATCCATCTTCATAAATGTAGATAGTTGAACCCTTATAGTTCTCATCTTGTAAACCTACTGCAAAGAACCCAATATCCTCATCTTTGTTGCTCTTTACACAATCACTAAAAAGCTTTGCTATACATCTCACAGCATCACATACATCTTTTGAACAATACCACTGTTCCTAAAATAAAGAACAAAAAAGGAGTATCCTGTAAGAATAACCCATCGTGTCTTTAAATTCTGAGTCTGGAAAGAGCCCATTTATTATTATTATTATTAATATTTTTCTGACGTACTTATTCCCTGTATATTTTAAACACTAAAACTTCAGTGCCTAGTTTTTTTTTTAATAACTTTTATTACACATGTAAATAAAATATTATCTTATTTTAATTTTGAGATTATCTATAAGTTCAACAATCTCCTCAAAATATTCTGTCTGACTGTTTTCCACAGTCTTTTCTTTGTTAACAATTTCCTCATAAAGTGTCTTTAATCTTGTCAGAGAGGTCATCAGAGACCTGTCTGTGCGGTACTGTTGCAAACACATGGGAGCCATTACTATTAAAGTCTGCAGGGCCTAGAAGAAAATAACAACACAAAAAAGTTAGGTTCAAGTGCACTGGGTTATGAAAAAGTAACAGCAGTAAAGTTGTGCCCACCTTCTCTCTGTAATCATGCTCAGATGAATCAAGCAGCTGTGGAACAAGGCTGCACCAGTTTGTCTCCACAAGTTCTTTGTCCAAGGATACTCTCGAGTACTGACGTGCTCGCTCTTCATGTGAGGGATCCACAGAGTCCACGCTTGTCTTGGATATCTGCTCCTAGCAAACAACACAGCAGTAAAGGACTAACAATTGATTCTTCTTAGTGGGAATTTTTTTTCAAGCTAAAAAAAAAGTTACTTTTACACTTATCAGGTCATGTAGCAGGGTAACAATTCGTGTTCGCAGACTTCCATTACCATCCCCTCGGAACACCTCCGACAGCACTTGTAGACCACCATTTGACAGAAAATGTTGCTGTGCAAATGGGAAGTTCCGCAAAAGCGAGCCAACAGCAAAAAGGACCTATAAAACAAAATATGTATATACTGTATATTTTCTAGTTTTTGTTTTGTTTTTATCTTAGATGAAAGAAGACAAAAATGTTATGAAGAAATCACCTTTTTTTGTACAGGAAAATGTTCAGTTGTAGCCAATAGTGTCAGTAATGTTTGAAGAGCACCACTTTCCACAGCTTTCACCTGTACTGTTGGGTTGCTGGAGTCCCAAGAAAGAAAACATGAGAAAATATTGCAAGAATTTAAATATTTCACATGTTGCTTCTGTTTACCTGGATAATGCAGATCCCAACACAAAGGCAGAGCTTTCTTGTAATCTTGAATCTGAGCTGTTCAAACCCTCTAAAATGAAGACAAGACCACCCATGGAGCAAAGGTTTTGGGCATTGTCAACCTAAAGCATCGAGACTAGAGTCAGGACATCTTAATGGATTATGTTCACAGCATTATAGAATCTGATCTCAAACTTGATGAAGGGCCTTTGTAGGTACACTGTTTAAAAAGCAACTTGAATTTTGTTAACAGAACTTACAATTATAAATTCATGAATATTTGAACCTGACAGAGTTAATGCATAATAGGCAATCAATGCTATATCAGCTATACTGTTGTAACTTATCTACTTTAAAGCTCAAACTTCATTTGTTCGTACATGCTCAGTTGGAAAATGTTTGGAGTTTCCCAGTCATTGTAATTCATGAATGTTATAATTGAACCTGAAAAATACATTTTGTGAATTGTTTGCTTTAGTTTATTTATTAAATGAGACAGGGACAGTGAACATTAACCTTACAGGAGAGATGCATTGTACCAGGTTGTAGCACTAGTGATAATTTCCACATATAGTCCTCTAAATTCACTAACATCATTCAATTAATAAATTAGTTTTAATGTTATACTTCTTTTTCATTGGGAATATTGTATGCACTTGACTTCTTCATTTGGGCTTAAAGATTTGAATTTAAGAACTCACTCAACTTAAAATAGTAAAGCAACTTGCCGCAAATCCTTTTTGAGTGCACTGTGCCAACAAGAGTTAAGTTCATAATTTCTTGGGTCATCTAATATTAAGAGCTTCACCAAACAACAGTTTATTGTTATTTTAAGTTTAGTCTTTTTTTTTTTTTTTTTTTTTTTTTTTTTTTTAACACTTAAGAAATCTCCAAATTGGAAATCCATACATTGAATAATATCTTACTCTGTTAAGGATTGGATATCAAACAAAATATTTTTCAACTGACATGATCGCGCATGTTCAAGATTGCTGCGCCCTGTGAGATGCTGGCAAAAATCTAAACTACAAAACTAACAAGTCTTACTAAATAAAGTAGAAAAACTAACTTTTGGATAAAGCACTGTTGGCGATGCCCCCGAAGAGAAACGCGCAGATGGAGAACGACATTGAGGAGATTCGCAAGTCGCTAAATGCGATAACGGGGGAGATGGCCGCAATAACCCAACAGCTGACCAAACTAACAGACCTCGTTGAAGAGGTAAAACAATTGAAAGAAACCATCAGAGAAAAGGACAAAACGATCATGGAGCTTGAGAAGAGGATTGACGACTTGGAACAGTACACGAGAAAGGAGGATGTCATTATCACCGGGCTAAACATTAAACCCCGCTCCTACGCCAGAGCTGCAGCGGTGGGCAGAAATGTTGGTGAGGACGCGGAGCCTGGCGATTTGCAAACTTTGGAGGGGCAAGTCGTGCAGTTTCTGAAAGAGAGGAATATTCACCTGGACGCGATCAACATCTCTGCCTGCCACACCCTACCGCGGAAGGACAAAACAAAACCTGCCATCATCGTTCGCCTTGTGAGTAGGAAACACAAAATAGAACTACTAAGTCAAGGAAAAAAGTTGAAAGGATCTGAAGTCTATTGAATGAGCATCTAACCAAGAAAACGGCCGATATTGCTCGTGAAGCCCGAATCCTGAAGAAAAACAACAAGATCAAATCGACGTGGACAAGAAACTGTAAGGTTTTCATTCAGCTTCACGGAGCCACTCCGGAACAAGCCAAAGTGATACTGGTAAGGGATCGCAAAGATCTTGATCAACTTAGATAATGGAACTCTATTCGCCAATGACTTCTCCTAGTGCCTTAGAAATGGAATGGAATGCACAAATGGAACTGGACACTTTTGCATACAGTGACTATAACACCACAGACCCAGCTGCAGAGATAGACCCTGATTCAAATTTTCTCTCTTCAATTGTTAACAACTGTACTTATATCACACAAGACCAATTTGAAAATAGTGTGAAAATTCAGGGTAAGCTGTCAATAATACATTTTAACAGTAGAAGTATGTATGCAAATTTCAACTTTATCAGAGATTATTTGCAACATTTTACACAACCCTTTAGGATTATAGCAATTACTGAAACCTGGTTCAGTGATGATAAAGGCATAAACTTTGAACTTGATGATTATGAATTAATATATAAGAATAGAGAAAATAAAACGGGGGGAGGAGTTGCTTTTTATATTCATAATTCTATCAACTTTATGGTCTTATCAAATATGTCGCTTGCAATAAATGAAACTATGGAATGTTTAACAGTTGAAATCCAAAATGGGAAAAAGGAAAATATAATTGTAAGCTGTGTTTATCGATCACCTGCTTCAGATATTGAAATCTTTAATGAATGGATGGAGAAACTGTTTTCTACTGTGAACCACAAAACATTGATTTATCTGTGGAGATTTTAATATTGACCTACTAAATCCAGCCAAACTAAAAATAATAGATGACTTCTCTGACACAATGTTCAGTATGTCTCTTTATCCCACGATCACTAAACCAAGTAGAATAACCTCATGCAGTGCTACAATTATTGATAACATCTTTACCAACTTTATGAATCAATTAACCAGTGGCCTCTTTATATGTGATAATTCTGACCATTTACCTGTCTTCATTGTTTTTGACTATGATCTCCAAAAAATCAAGAAGGGAAAGAAATCAATTTATAAAAGAACAAAAACTGAAGAAGCTATTAATTCTCTGAACAACAGTCTAATGCATCAAGATTGGAGTACAATCTATAGAGAAACAGACGTGGACCAAGCATATAATAACTTTTTAGATACATTCCTGTCATTGTATAATAAATATTGCCCAGTCATAGAACTATGTGTAAATAGCAAATGTACAAACAGCCCTTGGCTGACTAAAGGAATAATTAATGCTTGTAAAAAGAAAAATAATCTGTATAAAAAATTCATAAAGTCAAAAACAAAAGAAGCAGAGCAAAGATATAAGAAGTACAAAAACAAGTTAACAGGCATAATTAGAGTGAGCAAGCAATTATACTATAAGAAAATATTATATGAAAATAGAAACAATATAAAAGGAACATGGGAAACACTGAATAGATTAATCAAACAGGGACCTACAAAGTTAACCTATCCTGACTACTTCATTGACAAAAATGATGAAATTCAAAATGCAAATGATGTAGTAAATCAGTTCAATAATTTTTTTGTAAATGTTGGCCCAGACTTGGCAACAAAAATTCCAGATCAGGTAACTTTACAGTGTCACCAAAATGTCGAAAGAAATCTAAATTCTATCTTCATATATGAAACGAATGTACAGGAGGTCACAAACATTGTTCTCAAATGTAAAAGTAAACTATCCAAGGATTGTCATGATATAGACATGGTACTAGTTAAAAAAGTAATAAATAACATTGTTAAGCCCTTTACCCACACCTGCAACTTATCCTTTCTGTCTGGGCGTTTCCCAAATAAAATGAAAATTGCTAAAGTAATACCAATATTCAAGAGTGAGAACAAACATAGTTTTACAAACTACAGGCCAGTTTCCCTACCGCCACAGTTTTCAAAAATCCTTGAAAAACTCTTCAACTCACGTCTCGAAAAGTTTATTGAAAAATATAAAATAATTAACGAAGGACCATACGGGTTTAGGATGCAAAGAACCACCTCAATGGCAATAATTGATGCTATAGAGGGAATCACAAATGCACTAGATGACAATAAATATGCTGCTGGTATTTTTATTGACCTTAAGAAAGCCTTTGATATGATCAATCACTCAATATTACTACATAAACTCGAACAATATGGTATTAGGGGGGTAACTTGGAGCTGGTTGAAAAGTTATCTTACAGAAAGGGTGCAGTATGTTCAAGTGGGAAAGTATACATCAAAAAACCTTGGCATTGCTTGTGGAGTCCCCCAGGGGTCTGTTCTGGGACCCAAACTGTTCAATATATACATAAATTATATATTTACTGTATCTCAATCCCTAAAACTTATACTCTTTGCAGATGACACCAACATATTTTACATTGTCTCAATTATGATGAACTCATAAGTACTCTGAATGAGGAGCTAAATAAAATTAAAAAGTGGATGGATATCAATAAATTGTCATTAAACTTGAGTAAGACCAAGGCCATGATATTTGGCAATCGCAAGATTAATACAGAGTTACCAATTTTGATTGAAGGTGTCCATATAGAAAATGTACATGAAAATAAATTCCTGGGAGTTATAATAGACAGTAATGTGGAAAGCCCACATTAGACATATAAAAACTAAAATTTCTAAAAGTCTTGCTATAGTTAACAAAGTGAAATATTACCTTGATCAAAATGCCCTTCGTATATTATACTGTTAATTGGTTCTCCCTTATTTCACATACTGTGTTGAAGTGTGGGGGAACACTTACCAATGTACACTTCATCCATTGATCATATTACAGAAACGTGCTTTGCGAATCATCCATAAAGTTATTTTTTTTAGAACACACCCACAATCTTTTTATTCAATCCAAGCTCCTCAAAATTCCTGAACTTGTACAATATTATGCACTGGTCATTTTATTCAGAGCATGCAAAAATTTACTACCACGTAATATTCAAAGCTTATTCAAAATGAGAGAGAGAACTTATAATTTTAGAGGGTATGGAAATTTCAAATTGCCTAATGTACGAACTACTCGTAAACGTTTCTGTGTGTCTGTATGTGGTGTAAAACTCTGGAACAGACTGGATACACATCTCAAGCAATGCCAAAATATCCATAAATTCAAGTTGTTATATAAACATATGGTTTGGTCACAGTATATGGAGAGTGGGTCATAATATTAGAAAAATACTGCCTCTGTAGTGCTGGTTTATGTTTGTTGTTTTCTTACCATTGCTGGTATGTGCTGTCCATTACATTACATTTCTTACCATTGCTGGTTTGTGCTGTCCGTTACATTACTTGTATTTGTTGTTTCTTACCAGTCTGTTTCCTTAACTTTACCATTGTTGGTACACTTATGTTATACTACCAAGCTATAACAGTGACTCTTGTCTGCACTTGTAAATAGTTCATATAGTTTAAATTTAGATTAAATAAGTTTTCTTCTTCCCACTCCTTTTTGATCAAAATAGTAATAATAATAGTTATTAGTAGTTGTTGTTATTTTCATTTCTATTATGATTTCACTTATGTCATATGTTCCATTGTATATAAATGTAAATCTTTACTTGCCCAAAATAAATGCATAAAATAAAAATAAAAATCTTTATTGATTCAATTAGATTTCATTTGTGATCATAGGTGTTAGATGTTAAACAGCCCATATTAGGCTATTTTCTGATCTATTTAACAATGTTATTTTTTCATTAAAAATATACCTGGAGTTGCGCTTTGTTTTATTTATGCATTAACCCACAAATTCTGCATATTTAGGTTGAGTTCTCTCATACAGAATATACTCTGTTACACCTTGATGATGTGGTAATACAGGAGGTGCTGGAATGTATTTTTTAAACTCCATACACCCTCATTAAAATCATTTGGATAATTTCAACCATTTCAATCATTGTCTACTGAACAAAAGTTAAAAAGGTAGCTTTTAACTTGAAAACTACCGCTTCATGACATCACAAGGTGGAACAGAGCATTAGGATTTAGAGATGTAGACAGACTTATAATAAGGGGTTACTCAAACATGGGTGAATAAAACAAAACACAACTCTGGGTATGTTTTTAATGAGGTAACAACATTCTAACATGACTTAAAGCTCACAAGACTCGGTAATTACAGACATAATAACAACAGAGCAGATCGATTTACATTATTAACAACTAAAGCTCAAATTGCATCAAGAATTGTGAACTGCCCTTGACTTAAATTTCTAACATGACACCATTTACAATATCACATGAACACAATATTTAATCACTATTTAACATGTTTATGAATAAATAATCACCTACCTGATGCACCATGTACTCAAGCTCATGCAGAATGTTTAATTTATCTTCTGTGACATGGGTGCTATTAAATTGGTTCAGGAGTCGTCTTAATATCTGGCCACCACAAAACATGAAATTAATATGGTAGAAAACATAATGAAATATTGTTGGATTGGTTACTACAAGTGCACTTACAGTACACATTTACCTGAACATCCGTTTCCACAAGGAGATCCAACTGAGCCATGTCCTTCTTTAGCTCGTCCAGTGGTCGAAATTGAGATGACACAGATTCTTTCTGGAAATTATAAACAGTACCATTTAGAACATACAGATTTGTGCACATGGGACAAAATGCCAACAAATTTAGCAACCTGATTTGAGTCTTTGTTGATATTCAGATCTTCCTTAATTTTCTTCATAGCTTTTTTCAGCTCATCAGGGTTAATAAAGGGCTGTTTGTCTTCATTCTCACTAGAATTTATACAGGAAGAAGTATAATCAACAAACCCCCCTCCCCCAAAACATTTATGATTTGATTTTTACCTATGCTGCTGTGTCCAGTATTTTAAGTGCTCCTCTCCCAGTCGAACCTCCCTCTGTCCAGTTTGTAAATTTAATCTGACATGTGAACCAGATGGTACAGCTTGGCCTAAAAATAAAAAGTTTGATATAAGAAAATGTAGGCTTTTCCATTCTTGTTTGTAAACTTTAAATATTTTACCTGGTTTGAGTGTTTGCCATTGATCTGTGGGATGAACCACTTCCAAGTCCTCTTTAATATCTTCTTCCTCAATTGTAGCCTCACTTCCATCCTCAGTGTCTAATCCATTTACTTCTGGGTTGTCAACCACTGTCAGGGCACCGTCCGACTATAATATAGGTAAGTGTAAGTGAGTCTATGTTAGCTGATGTGAAGTGACAGGCATTATTTCTCTTATGACACAGTAGTTAATCTTTCCTTTGCATGTCCCAGGACCTTTTTATTTTTCTCCATAAAATCAGCAACTCCTTCAATGTATTTCAATTGACAAAACACAATGTCTATTCACTTTTGTATAGAAGAGACTGGAAAAACAAAGACTTACCCTTTGACAGGAAATGTAACAGCAGTGAAACAACAGAACAATAAAAGTCAGGCAGATTAACCTGACAGCTGTGGACGGCCTGAGACGCATAGGACCTGAAAAACACTTTAAAAATACAATAAATATTTGATGATGTGATGACATGTAAGAAAGAAAAAGACAGCCAGACAGGTTTGGTTTCTAGCATCACAGTTCACAGGGAGCAACTTCTCTCACTTAAATGATGAATATAACGTTTTGGTCTAATCTTACCTGCTAGATTAGGGAAAATTAAATGTGAAAGTGTTGATTTTGTATTCATTAGTGTTCGTTGCCCATGATATTTCCGCATACGTTTTAATTTCTTTGCACTGATTGGTCCACGTGAATGTGTCTTCTTCGTTTCTTTTTCCACAGGCACAAAGTGATCACTACTGCCTTACTTGGAAAAGAGGAAAATTACACCTAATCAAAAGTTACCCTATTTTTATATTTATATTATATACTTTCATGCCTTTTGAAAAAAAAAAAATATATATATATATATATATATTTTTTTTTTTTCCAAAAGGCATGAAAGTATACAGTTCACATGAAAATAAAATAAAAAACACAACAGTGAATAAAACATATTCTCATATAAAAAGGGTAATTTCAAAGGTTTAATTTAAAGGAATACATTTATATCATAAAAAAAGACATAAGAAAACCAGCCTCTCCAATGAGTCCAGAGAGCTAGAAAAGGTTCAAGTTACTCTTCAAGTGTGTTAAGTTTGATTTAAGCTTAGAAAAATATTTATGTACAAAATGTTTATCAAAAAATATTAGGTACAATAAATTGTACCCAGTATTAATAAATTCCATTTGAACTATTAATACACCAAATTTTCCTATTTTGTATAGTTTTGAATAAAGACAATGCAACCCCAGATGTATGTTTTATTTGTACAATAAAATATTTTTTCATCATAAACAAAAAACAGCATACAAAGAACGCTATTGCTGGGCACATTGGTTTTCCATGCTGTTGCTAGACTTAACATGGATCACCTCCACAGATTTCTGCTTTTTTCGCCTCTCCTCTTTACTGTACTGATGGCGATGGTCCTCTGTCTTCACATTACAGTCAGTCAAACAGGAACTAGAAGGGAGATGTGGAAAACAAACAAACATCAGACAAAGTAAAACTGTGAAAACTAAAAGTATGCTCCCAAATCCACTATAGTTTTTAATTAATAATATAAAAGAACAACATTCAGTCACTGACAATAAATAATTTCATATCAGAGGGCAAACCTGGGATTGGGGATAACAACAGGTTCTTCTGCACTGATCTTCACATTTTTTGTTGGTCGTTCCTCTACATCAGGATCTAAAACAATTATTATGATTACGAGTATTTATACATCATCATTACTATAATTTTAGCACCATGTTTTTTTTAAAACCTTGTTTAATGTTTATTTCTTTGGCAGCTGGAGGAGATTCAGTCTTTGCTTCTGAGGTTTTAACCACATCCATCCCCTTTTGAACTGGTTGCACGCTCTCCTCAAGCTTCTCACAGGAAGGCACAACATCCACTGAAAGCTTCTCTTTCTTCCTTTTTTGGAGAAGATTGTTTTTTGCTTCTACAGATTAAAGCAACGTAAAAAAAAGAAAAGTTTACTTTACCCATTCAAAATTACTAAATAAATACGGATTTCAAATTACCTTTAGGTTCATATTTGTGTTGGAGCTCTTCCACGCGCATCTGCAGCTTGATCTTGTCACTCTGAGCCTATGAATTTAAAAAACAGCAAATATAAACAAATTATTATTTTTTGCATTTAAAAAAAAAAAAATCTCAATACAGTGCTCAGCATAATAGCATCTATAATAACATTTATGAAAGCTGTGTCATCTCATTTTCCACATTCATACCTGTTTCAGCATCCGTTCAGCTGTGAACAGTTTCCTCTCCAGCTCAAGGGCTCGCTGGCTCTCAGACAAAGACTTCATCCTCTGAAGAGAAAGCTCGTCTCCCAAACGCTCTGCATCTTTACTAAACACAACCCAGTGGAAATTACAATGAGCCACAGGATTGATCTGAATGAAGTTTCCTGTTTTTCTAGTGCATATGGTCTTACATGGAGTTGTTGAGCTTCATCTTGAGCAGGTCAGTGTAGTAAGTTTCATCTTGACCATCAACATTTTCTCCTGGAGTTGAGCTTGGTGACTGAGCCTTCACCATCATCTATAATTTAAAGACATAATTACAACATTTTGAGTACCTATTGCTTGGCTAGCCATGACAACACTTGCTTTTTCTATACTTTACAAGGATGCATAGTATCGAACCAAATCTTATAAACCTTTCCATCTTTATTTAGCTTGTTTATGATTATCACACCCAGGGGTATTAACATGTGAATACAAACATGTTTTGAAATGCATGTGATTATATTCTATTTTTTTCTCGGACATGTTACTGCTCCAGGCGGTAATTACAATGTCTCCTATAAGAGTAATCCTACTATTATTAATATAAAAATCACAAATCTAATCGCAGTCACAATATCTTTAAGGAAAAATTGGAATGGCATATTTTTCCAGAATGGTTAAACCAGCATTCACCTCCACTTTCTCGAGGTGCCGGAGTTTGGCCATTAGGTTTTGGATCTCCTCATTCTTCTCCAAGATCATGGACTGTAGTCGTTCCAGTTGGGCTGGATCAGCTCGAGAACCTTGTAGTTGCATTAGTGTGGCTATTTGAACCTGCATGAGACAAATTGGCAAAAATAACTTAGATGAAAACAAACTTAACTGATCCACAAGGGAAATTATTTGAACACAGTAGTTCACACATCACAATATAATATAATAACTAAGAGAAAAAAACATAAAAATAAATTATGTAAATAAAATTTGAAAATTGTAACTACAACAGCCACTGTCAGTGCAAGAGTACCTTGAGTTGTTGCATCTGCTGTTTGCTGAAGGCATACTGTTTCTGCAATGACTGATACTGGACCTTCATACTGATGAGCTGCTTCTCCATCTCTGCACGCTTATCCTCAAGCTATAGTACAACAAAATATCAAAGCATAACATAGTTTTGTATGGTTTTGAGAAGATGGTTAAAGATTTTTTTTACCTCTGCAAATAGAGAGTTGCCTTTGCTGTTTGGATCCTGGGCTTGTTGTAGGAGCTGATCCAGTTGCACTTGTAGGTCTCGGTTGGCCTCTCGTGATTTCTGTAGTAAAATGCCAAAATCAGAAAGGACATACAAACTTTAACAAGACTGAGATTTGGCATTATAAAACTTTATGGGGTCATACAAGTAATAGATTTATAAAACAGCATCAATAATTTATGCCTTACTTCCAGAGTGTTAAACCAGGAGACTGCTTCTCTCTCTCGTTCCTCCTTCTCTTCAGTTATTCGTTCTAATTGTCGCTGTAAATTCACATTGCTGAGTTCTAGTTGTTGTTCTCTGTAATGTGCCTCCTGCAGAACTTGCTCCAGCTCCACCTGAGAGACAAAAGCTCAAGTTTCTAAGTTTCAGGTTTTCAAGTGACAATCATTAAGTGAGCACCACTGTTGCTCAGTAGGCTCAATCCCATTGGACTCTAGTCCATACATGCAATACTGTTAGAACTGAACATGTAGTCTTGTGGTATCTTAACCTTCTTGTTCTCCAAGTCCATGATCTTCATCTGCACCTCCATCATCTCTGAGCTCATGGAGGTTTGAGCCTGCTCATTCACAGCTCGCAGCTCCTCCAGTTTGTTATTCAATGTCTCACTTAGCACCTCCAGCTTGTGTTTGAGTTGCCTCTCATTCAACTGTGATTCCTCTAAAGCAGACTGTGTCCTATGTACCTGAAATGGCAAATGTACAACATACATGAATCAATGAGCACAACTAAATTAAAGAGGCACTATACATCCATCCATCCAATTCCAGGTCACGGGGGTATAATACTTAGTAATCTCCATGGAGACAAGCAGGTGACTCTAACAAACCAGGTATTTTTTGGCAATTTTTTTGTCAGACATCATGTCATGTCTGGTACTACACAGTGGAACCTTCCAGACAAAGCAATAAAATATTTATGGAACAAGCAGGTGTTTCTAAATAAATGTTTGACAGATATATTTTTTTTCATATACTTAGTTCTTACCTTATTGTTGAGCTCAGTGAGGGCAAAATTGTGGTTTCTCTCCAAAAGCTCTTCCTGCTCTTGAAGCTGCTGTCTCTGTTGATTTTTCACCCCCTCAAACTCAAACTGTAGTGATTCAAGCATTCTGGACTTCAGCTCAACTTCCTTCTGCAGTGAGTACTTTTCTTGTTCAAGGACCTATCAAACAAAGACACAAATGCCCATGATTACACTTTGACCATTCCTTTGCCAAGTGTTAACATTCATCCTACCTCAAGTGCATTGGTCATCTCTACTCTCTGTTCATCCAGTCGATTCTGTAGCTCCATCTGCTGACTGAGGAGGTCTAAACCAGCCTGAGCAGCCTTCTGCACCTGCTCTTCAGTCTCCCTTAGCTGGCTCTTGAGCCGCTGGATCTCCTCTTCAGCTCCTCGGTCACACATCTGGAAGAACAAGAAAGAACAAGACTGCTTTTTGAACCTGCTTTGACCTGCTAGTTGAAGTGGTTTAGGACTACATTTAGGGAGCACCTTTGTGTAATAGTTTAATATCCATAAAGACATTGTTTAGAGAAGTAGGTTGTACACTATAATTACATCTGTCATGTGGAATCGGTTGCAGTTTATACAGTCTATGGTTGCAATGGTTTCTTTACTTAAAGTATTGCCATGCCCTCTTATAGCTAAACAAATTCGGTGTTTTGAAGACATGAGAGCAGATCAAACCAGCATCACACTTGACTGTCGTGGTTAAAAATAGTAAAGCATATAAACATTATTTAAACAGCTTTAGTTGATATTCAACATTGAAAAACACAAATGAAACATTATTTGCGTGCCTTTTGGTCAAGTCTGGTTAAGAGTAAACTAGGCTAACTTGTGACTCGCAGTATAATACACTGCACAGTTGACCCAGTAAACCGTAGAGGAGACTGTACGAAGGAAATTAGCTTAAAAAATGAAGCACAAGTCAATCAAACGATGAGCCAGGGATATAATTACAAAATCAAAACACAGATACTTTTCCTACCTTGGGAAAGATCAGTCCAAAAACAAACCGCCACGGTTTGAATAGTCCTGCTTCTTATCGCGAGATGTGCGCACTGCCAACGAGAAGTCTCCCTTCATAAACAGCGCCACCCTTCTCCAAGTGAAGAAATAGCATCATGAGCATTTTTCACTCTGGACTGTGGTTTAATGGGGTTTATTAACCTATCAATTCATAGCATCTAAATATACGTAAGAACAAACACAATTCCTTTGTTGTGTTCACATGTAGTATGTCTGAGTGAGGGCAAGTGACTAGTCCAAACAAATTAAATAAAAGGAGAATAAAGTTGAACACTTCAGTTTAATCAAGCTCTCATCACACTCAGTTTCATACATCACATGTTTAAATCACAGCCATTTTATATCATGGAATGGACATTAGAACATCACTTCATTTAATAGTTTCATCTCATGTCAATCTCACAAATCTCACGTTGCAATCAAAGCAGTGAATGGAATTGTGTCACCTGATCAGGAGAGGTTTTAATAGTTTATTGTATGGAACAATATGAAACAGCTAGTGTTAATAAAATCCTCTGTGAACTGTTAAAGGAATTATCAGTCCAGTATAATCTATAAAACGTTTCTTTATTCTCATATTTACAGTTACCCACGTTTTTCTCATGCTGCTGCTATAGAGGAATCATCAAGCTGTCGGCCTTGAGGCTAGGGAAATAAGAGACAAATTAGTTTTCTATTAGTCTAATAGAGAAACTATTGAGGACATGAGTTACCTTGACAAAAATGCGATGAGGCAGGAAGCGCCTCAGTGTCTGGGTTGTGGTGGTAGGGCATCTGGGCAGATTTATACTGAGTTGTGGTAATGTTTGGTAACCAGCCATCAGTGGGTAAAAATTATACAACATTTGATGCTCAGAACCAGGAAGGATCCGAACGCGAACCTGCAAATAAAGATAAAAAAATTCTGACATGTTCCTGTTGTGAAAAGACATGGTTAGACTGGGCTAAGGTGAAACAATGTGGGTGAAATAGTTTACAGAAGAAAAATTATAGTGATAAAAATACAGTTTACAGTCATATTTAAAGAATACCAGTTTCAGTCCAGAGAACATAAAGGCATCAGAGGGTTCCACAGCCATCTCCACCTCCTGTACCAGAGCAGTCCTGTTTTCTATATGGTACCGAACTGGAAGAGACTCCCTGACCCTCCCAAATGAAGGCAGATCTATCCAATTCAAAGTAAAGTCAATACATTGCCATTTGTCTCGATTAAAAATACAAGTAAATCAAAAGTCACACAAACCTGCATGAATATAAAGAGGAACAGACTCCAAAAGAATGTGAGGTAGAGTGACTGTTGTCTGGATGAGTGGACTATCTGAAGAAGATGATTGCCTATAACAAAAACATAGTTTTAAATAACAATAAATAAATAAGTGTTTGCATTCTGACTATAGTACTACCTCCGCCATGATATCGAGTACTGTCCGGTTGCCACAGCGTTATTGTTGTTGGTTAAAGGTGGACAACACAGGCAGAAGCACTCACTAGCACCCTCCCCAGTCTCCAGGACCGCTGTTGTGCGCATAAGTACAATTAGTTTTTAATACAGACATAAATCTCTTTCATTAAATAGAAATGGCTTGAAATTATTAACTACTTTGCTCCAACTGTGACTTCATATCTGGGGTTGTACTGGTCAAACTGAAAAGCTCCAAAGAAGAGGAAGCCAACAAGATCGGCCACGGAGAGGATGAGACAACATCTGTCATGAGAAGGAAGGGGATGTCCACTGAGACACGCTCCAGAGGCTCCAACTGTGGAACATACCAAAAATCTGTTATTTTATTATTTTTTGAAATCCTAACTGTACTAACTATTTTACTATAAGACCAACACAACTTCCTGGTTCAATACAGACCTTAGTTGAAACAAACTTGACAGACACTTCAAATGGGATGACAGTCTCTACAGAAACGGTTTCATCCTACAAGTGAACAAATGTACAAAATGCTAAACATTAGAATACAAAATACCAAAAACAAAGCACTGTGTTGTGTTATGGAAAAAAAAACAACCTTGTGGCATTTGCAGATAATCTGTCTTCCTTCCACAGTTGTATCAATGGAGTAAGCAACATGAAACAAAAATATCCTCGGCCCTATTGTCGAACACCTTACAAATATGGTTTTCTCAAGCTGCACAACATGAAAAAAAAAAATAAATGAAAGACTATAGTTAAATCTGA